GTCTGTCCGTCTGTCCGTCTGTCCGTCTGTCTGTCTGTCCTCCTGTCGGTTTCTATGTAAACTAGTCTCTCAGTTTTAAAGCTATCTCGCTGAAACTTTCCCAAAAGTTGTGTAGTTGTTGCACGCAGTATATATGTCGGAACGAGCCGGATCGGGCGACTATATCGGATAGCTCCCATACAAGAGAATGAAATAAAAAATGTTTACACCGTTGTTTTTGATCAGATCGACTTGACTCCTTCCAGATGGCGTTTTCTAACTGCTATTGAATTTCGGATTAAATTTTATCAAAATCGGATAACTCTATCATATAGCTGCCATAGGAGAGATCAAAAAATATATATATAAATAATGGAAAAAAATTATAATGTCGTTGTTTTTAATGCCACGAGCATGATTTTTGGAACATAAAGTTTTTTAAATACTCTTAAGTTGAGAAAAAATTTCATAAAAATCGGAGTACTATATCATAGAGCTGCCATAGGAAAGATCGAAAAATCTATATAGAAATAACGGAAATATAATTATAACCTCGTTGTTTTTCATCAGACAATAATGATTTTTGGAATATAGAGTTTTCTAATGAGTCTTGAGTTACAAATTAAATTTCATTAAAATCGGACGACTATATTATATAGCTGTCATATGAACAATATGGAAAATTAATAGAAAAATCCTCATAGCTTCGATGCTCTTTAGCTTTTATGTATTTTGTTCGGCATATTTAGTAACTGCAAGGGTATATAAGCTTCGGCTTGCCGAAGCTAGCTTCCTTTCTTGTTTTTAATATGAATTCGGAATGCTTAAAATATGAATATGAAATGGACTTCAAAATAGAAAATGGATTTTTTGCAAAAGAATAAGTAAATTTTCCATTATGCAAATATTTAATAATGCATCTTCGTCAAAAAGAAATCTCTAAGCAAATAATTTTTTTGTATTTGCAATATTCAATGGCTTGAATCCGATAGGATAAAATATTCCCATTCATTAAATCCCATAAAATCCTTAAAGCAAAACAACAATTTTTACAGTCTGCCAATTGAAAAATCTTTTTCAATAAAAGTATAGAATTTCCCTCCCTCTCTCATTTTCCTTTCAGCTGGAAGCGTTTCCAATAATCCTTTGTGCATACGCAAAGCAAACAAAACTTTTGATTGTTCTTTAATCTTTTACTTGCAAGCTGAGATTTTTGCGCCAAAAGAGAGTGGCGCATGAGTTAAGTCGCTAAATAAATCAGTTTATGCAACTGCAAATGGAGTTTGTAATGCAAGTCCGTTTGCCAAGTAAAAAGGATTTCGCAACAGCAGCCTTGGGCATGTTTATCCTTCACTTTTCTCCCGCTTCAACCATTTCGAAAAGCTAAAGAGACCGCGGGGAGAAATTAAGACAATTGTCGATCCGCTTCGATGCCTCGAGTCATTTCGTCGACGGAAAATCTTTTCTCATTTTCCCCATCCGAGACTTTGACATCGCCACTTGCATACGAAATGAAAATCTTGCTTTTTGCTAATTGGCGGATACAGAAACTTAAGTTTCACCAATGAGTTTAGCCAGGATCGGAGTTTTGAGTTTCGGCAACTTTTAATCTGAACTCTGAACTTATACAAGGCGTTTGCATTTTTTATAAAGCATTAAATGTTCATAACCAAGTTTGAAGAGCAAGAAACTGTTGACCGAAAAGTGGCTAGAGTATTTATGTTGTAAAAATGTTGAAGTGAAACTACCAAAAAATAGAAATAATTAAAGGGAAAATTATTACAAATCAATTTTTTTTTTGTCTCCTATATCCTAAGAGCTATCAGTTTATTTTTTCTATTTAAATGGTGTCCCAATTCCGTTTTGTTTATCCTTTTTAAATGGCTGAGGATTTGCCAATTTTGTTCTTAACCAGCAAAGTGCACAACGATTGGCGTCGCGTGACAGAATCTCCTTTTGGCCCGAAGGCAGTCGGCCAACTAATCCAATAAGTTCCACCAGCACTATCCTAATGAGCCATTCTATTTGCCAAGCCCCCAGTTGAGCTTGAGCCTCCCGATAGTTTCTCCAGCCGAAAGCAAAAGCTTCCACATCCTGTTGCTGGAGGATAAACTTTTCTACGCCGCCTTCCGACGGACTCAAAGTTACATTTAATGAACCATCAGGACACACCACTCCGGGCATCCTGCAGATTGAGAGGAAAAGGGGGAAAAGCGGGGAAGACAATCCCCAGAAGTTAACTTGCAATTTTGCATGTCGCGCAATTAGGCAAAAGTTAAATTGCTTGTCATAAATGTAAAATTTGCAACACAAAAATTGACTTAAGTGAGTGCAGAAGCTCCGGCTCGAAATAAATTTAAGCGGCTTTTGAATTTAAATTGCACTCATAAGCGTTGTAACTCCTTGAGCTGTAAAAAGCGCTGAGCCACGCCCCCTCCGCCCATAAAGATTATGAAAAGTCGTAAAAGGCCAAAAATATGAATGCGATAGTCGTAGTCAGAGCGGGTCCCGAAAATGGCTCAAATAAAATAAAACAGCAGACTCATGCAGAAAAGTCAGCGCCGCCGACATTTTGTGACATTTTCCGCTGTCAGCACGCGAAAATTTCTGGAGTGGCGATGTGGGCTCTGATGGGTGTTACACTTAAAGAAAAAAGGTGTAGTAACTAGAAGTTGTGTTCAAATTTCTGCGATATTCGAAGCTGGAGTTTATTGGGAGGAGAAATCATAAAATATTTGCATAAAACATCATATATTCCATTTTGTTCTGCCAGAATATCTAACCTTTATCTAATACTTTTCAAAGTGTTCTTGTGGTAGTTACCAAGCTCTGGAGGAAGGCTTAAAATATGCGCCGCTGGCTCAACATTTTGTCATATTTTCCTGCTTAGCCGCTACAAGAAGCTGGCTTCATTATGGAACAGCTTGAATCTCCCTGCATAAAGTATGAAATTAAAAAGCTGGCCAAAAAAGAAGTCAACGAGTGACAGCAAAAGTTGCAAAGCGTCGACAAAAGCGGAAAATAGAAGCCAGCAGAGAGCAACAATTTTTGTTGACTTGCTGGTGGCTCTGGTTTGGTGTATGTCTTCGGGGTCGATGGCAAGGGGTAATGGGTGTGGGGGGAAATGGGGGGAAATGGGAAACGGGGGCTTAGGTCACACCTGTGTCAGTGTGTTAGTGCTGTGTTCAAGTTGGAACTTAACGTGTTCAGCTTGTCCGGAGCATTTTGCAGCCCCAAAGTCATGGTTAGTTGAACTTTTCATTGTTGCCGTGAACAGTGGCTGCACTGTGGGAATTGTACATCACAAACTTTTTGCACAGGTACACAAGGAAAACTGCATACTAAATAAATTCATAAATAGTTCTATTATACAATACCTAATATCAGTGAAACTTATTGTCTTAGATTAATGCCCAAAGGCAATACATACTTTTTCCAAAAAAAATGTTTACTACAATAATAAAATTATGTTGATTCGCCTAACATTGTTTGAATTTTATTCATTGCCCAGATGAGCTATTCTATTGTTGTCTACAAATTTAAAGGACGAACCGCTATAGCTTCTGCTGGCCGAAATTTAAGGTGACATTTCCGAGATACACAACAAGGTGGTTTTATTTCTTCTAGACAAATAAACTTACGCACCGAATATGCAAGCGAAACAATCCACAGGCGGCAATAAAACTCCGAGAGGTAAAAACGCAAGGAGAAACATCAACAAACACGGTCAGCTTGTGGAAGGGGCTCGAATATCAGATGGTTTACAGCCTTTGTTTATTTATGATGGAACCAGAGAGCCTGCCATTCCGGCGCACCACTCAAATTAAAGGACCCGCAAAAAATGAGATTTTCGAACACAACATTCCCGGGGCGGCAGGAAAAGCTTTCACCTGCAATTTACTCGGTTGCACTTGCTATAAAACGAAAATTTCATGTGGCCTATCCAAAAAAATAAGAGCAGGGAAATAATAGAGCCGGAGTCCTTTCACTACGATTAGGGTTGCCGCCCATTTTACATTTTTTTTCCGTACTTGCTGGACGAATATTTGCCGTAAATTCCGAACCATTTCCATTTTGCACGAAAACGTGACTGAGTTTTCCGAACGCCGCCCCTCCGAAAATCCCCGCCCACTGGCTTCCGTTTTTCCGGAGCCTCCGGCATAGGAAACTGTAAATAAATTTTATTTTTCGGTCCACCAGCAAAGTGCATGGAAAGGTCCGGATTGCCGGGCAGAAAAGTGCGGGCCCAAAGCCTTAAAAACGAAACTTTATCTGCATTTAGTACATAAATAATCGAGAGCCTCGCAACGAGGATTTTGGAAGGTGAAAAGGCTTTTAGCAGGTTTCTGGTCGAGAGGGTCCTGCTAATTTGTTTTGGATTGATGGACTTGCATTTTGCATAAGTAAGTGTTGCGTTCCCGATTAATCGAAATCCCTCAGAAGGCCTTGAACTGGCAGTCCGGTCGATTACAAAAACTGAAAAGTAAGTTGTCTGTAAAGCTGTCACCTCGAGCGAAAATGAAGCGATTTGTGGATATCCATTTTACCGAAGAGTATTTACTAATCGAGGAGGAGTTCGCTGCGCTGGAGAACCCCAGTGATAAAACTAATGCAAGCAGCCCAAAAAAGAATCAGGTTAGTTTAAATTTCAGATATATTACCCATCAATACGTTGGATAGGATGACTTGCAAAAAGTCAAACAGGATATTGTAATAATATTTTAATTGTATTCATTATAGGAACAAGAAAATGAGTTAAGTGCATCCGAAAACATAGCAGAACCAACTAAATTAGACTCCTTCAACTTTAGTAACCTTTACGAGACTGAGGAAGATAATAGTGATTGCCTGGATTTTCATGACCTCAGTCTTTCGCTTCCGAATGTTTCCATTCGCGAGCAACGGCGACTGGCATCAGTGATCAGGAAAAAGAACCTTGGCTGGCAGAAACGCCATCAAAAGCGTCTTAAGAAAATCTGGCAAGACCAATTATCTGAAGAATCATCAAAAGATTAAAAGGTTTTTTAACCACTGCACTTCATTAAAATATTTTTGCCACACAGCACATAGCTTCATGGCGATAATAAATGTTGATGAAATAGAATAACCTCCAACTGAATAAAAATACCAATTACGCCGAAACTAAATTGATTTTATGAAATATTCTTAAATACCTTTAAAAATAATTGGCAATTCAACAAGAAATATGTGCAGACAATAGCCAACTATGTGTTACCCAATGCCAAATAATTGTTAACAGGTGAGTGCAGAACGTAATTGCAATTTGCGCAGCGTCATTCAGATAATTAAGTGAGTTTTAACTTGTGCACACACACAATATGTTCATGTCACATCGGCGATGTCAAACGAAAGGCAATGAAGCACTTTAAATGCAAAACTCACAATTGGCCGGTCAAGCCGGCAGAAATCATTTAACGAGCTTGCCAAATTGCCTTATGGAAAATGTTGGAAAAGCAAGGGGAAATGCATTCCCACAGACGAATGTCAGGATGTCCAGCTTGTGTCAGGATGCATTGATTTATGTCCTGCAGAAGGGTTGGCAAAGGGGGGGAAGTAACATGAATCTTCATTTGCGAATTGCATTTTATATGGATGTCCTGCCTGACATACCGTCAAGTATTTGTGCCTACAAAACAGGCACAGATTTACAGTCAGGGTCAAGAAAGTAGTTGTAAGTAGTAAAGGGAATCCAATAAATACAGTTTATGACTTATATTTCAATTTTATTTTATATTTTATTTTTACAGGTTGTCAAAATAACAAATTATAACTAGGAAATTAGATTTCCTCTATTTTCTTGACCACAGCTGTAGGTGAGCATTTCAATTAGTGCATCGGATCCAGACTCTTCATTCTGCTCCACCGAGGGGATCCCACCTTCTTCGAGCTCAGATAAAGCAAGTGGCCAGCTTTATTTATATATATGCGAATGCAAATACATGTTTTTGTGTGCACTTTGTAGGGTCGCTCCAGTGCAACTTAATATGCAGGACGAGATCCTTGCTAATGGGATTCCCTTAGACAATCCGGAACTCACCCGACTGTAAAATTTCTTGTTTTGATATGTTTATGTGTCTGTGTAAATAGAATTTTCCAGTTGCCAGCAAAAGGCACTGTATTTTGTCATAGACATTGGCTTCTCCACTCTCCCTTAATTATTTAATGGAGTTGTCTTCGGGAAATGTTTCCCAAATTTAATTAATTTTGCCTTGCAGAAGGGCAAACATTGTTAGGACTCATATTTTACGATTTATGGTAGTCCGATTTAACAAAAGGGCGTACACTAAACTGCCTGAGGTTAGTTCTAAGTGAAATTAGATTTATTTTTATTTTATTGACATAACTTTGTAGTTTTTGCCAAACAAGATAACCAAAAACTCCAGCGAGTACTTGAGTCAGTTACATGTATTAAATTATGGAGCTGTCTTTCAATTACATTGTAAAATCCAACCCTACAAAAATTGCATTCCTGGAGCTTGCAAAGCCAGATTCATGGGACTCGGTGAAATTTTCATGCAGTTAACTATGAAGGTAATGTCTTCATAACTTCGTGTTATTTGCTTAATGAAATTCCCCCCGACGGCAAGGCACAGCCTGTGCTCCACTCCTCTCGTCCTTAGACGAGTCTGAGCTTTGGCTTATTGAAATGCTGAACGCTGGGACCTCGACCACCCTCTCGGAAAAGCCTTTCTAAGCCCCAATCCACCCGCAGGCCCACTTAAGTCATCCCCTTTTCAGCTACAACAATGCAAATATTATTCCTTGACACCAGCTGTTGAAGAGGCGACTTCGCCAGCTGCTGTCACAGGATCCTGGCTGCGGAGGATGGTTGGGAGGCACTTCAATTTCGTTGCTAATAACTTGTTGCATAACCAGAAATCCCCAATGCCTGCCATGAAGCACTTAATCAAGCTAATAAAAATTGATGGCTGGCACGCAAACAATTTGTTTTTTGACTGCCAACAGGATGATGAGTCAAATCTGAGAGAAGCTTTCCTGGGACTTGTGAAATGTGCTGTCAATTTAAAACTTGCAATGAATTCGTTTAATTGAGAAAGATTTTGGTTGATGACATTTCAAAGGTTTGACAGTCAGATGTCAGATTATGAATTTGTTTTCAGAACATTTTTGAACAAAATCTTTGTTTGGAAAGTAGGTTTAATAATGTGAGCTCTTTTCAAAAATTAAGTATTACATAATTAATTATTATTTATTTATTATAATTTATTCTATTTAAACATACTTTTCTACTTCACCTGAAGTCGAATTGACTTTTGTTGACTTCAAATAAATGGAACATTTTTCACTGACACTTACCTTACCTAACTTCTATGTCAAATCGATAATTCAACACCGTTTTAATAACGCTAATGGGTCATTAAAGATAAGGACACCATCTCTTCTTTATTGCAGGACATTTGTTATCGTTGGACTCCATTGTCACTTTCCGTTGTTCACTTGTTGGTTTTATTTACATTAGTTGCATCGACAGGAGCTGTCCATTTTATATCGCCGGACAGTTGGAAATGTTTCGACCTCCTCGTGGTTTTTTTCCAAAGCTGACATGGCTTATCCTGAAGGCTTGTCTATTTGGATCTTGGATACTCGGAGTGTTTCCCTTTAGATTCGATTCTCGAAGAAAACAACTGCGGGCCTCCTGGTGGCTTTTTCACTACGGCTTAATTATTAAATGCGTATTTTTCTGCATGACGGTGTACAAACTTGTTCTATCTATAAAAGAGTTTACACATGATGCTTTTGACCGCAATCCGTTACTGAAACAGATATACCAACAGTTCGAACTAATCATACTTTTCGCGAACTGCGCGATATACTTTTTGAACTCTTGGAGGAGCAACGAGATGCTGGAGATCGACAACGAACTTTTAGGTTTGCAATGCAGAGATTTTGATGGTCGAAATATTAAAAACTGCCCCAAAATCAACTATTTCGTGATCGTAAAAACTTTCTCTGTGATATTCCAAGGTTGTACTCTCTTTTCAACCCGCTCTAAAACGCCAGGAAGTGTGTTCACAAAACTTATGTGTACGCTTTCTTCCCTTCCACTGGTGGGTCTTCAATTTATTGTAATGCATTTCCATTTAAATGTTCTGCTAATTTACCGATATGTGTGGCTGATTAACGGACAACTGAGAAAATTAGCTAACCAAACAAAAATAGACCTTGATGAAACATCTTTAAAAATTCGCAAACTTCTCACCGTGTACAACAAACTTTTACGGCTTTATCAAAAAATTGTATTAGCTTATGATATCCAGATTATAATCGTATTATCGGTTTACTCAATTTACAATATTGTAATAATATATTTTGTGATTGTACTTGCAATTAGTCTAGGTCGGATTAATACCTTTTTTGTGGCTTTTCCACAGTTGTTTATGAATATTTTGGATTTTTGGTTGAATATTGTCGTATTCGATCTCGCCGAAGAGGCTGGTAAAGAAACCTCAACCGCCTTGAAACTGTTTACTGATCTACATCACAGACATAAAGAACTTGAGAGAAGTGTGAGTATTAACACATCGACATGTATTTCTTAAATTCATTTTTTTACCATTTTCAACAGTTGAATGAATTTGCTTGGCTTTGCAGTCACCGTAAATTTGAGTTTCAATTATTTGGACTCTTTATGATAAACTATGACTTGGGCTTTGATATGGTCATCACCAGTTTTCTTTACTTGGTTTACTTGGTACAGTTTGATTATATGCATTTGTAAAACGAATATTCCTTTTATATAATACTATTGCTCAACTAGATATATAATCATAAATAATTACTAAGGTTATATGTTAAACTTTTGAATCTTTCCATAAAAAATATTTGTTCTCAACTGCTCAAGCGTGTTTTTTTCCAACTTCTTCACAACAATTTCCCATTTAGCGAAGGACTACGTGTGGTATGATTATTTGGCTGCCCGGATCGTGACATCCGCGTGACTGCCGCGACATATACTTTCCCCAATTCGTGAGTGATACGTGATTGGAAATAATTTAAGCTGCTGCGATAAACCAATTTGCGCAAATTTAAGATGAAAGAGGCGACGGACGGGCAACAGCCACGGCCACAGCGAACACACACATAAAATGGAAGCATTTTCACAACTGTCATTGAAATGTCAACATAAATCTACTGACATCCAGTGCCAGGTTCTCGCACTCGCACTCGCGCTCGTCCTGCTGCTCCTTTCTCCATTTCTCCGTCGCTTTCCCCAGCGACTTTTGCGCGCTGCGTGACGTAAATGCTGATGAATATTTCTCATCTGTTGGCTGCGGCTCTCCAGCTGAAGTGGGTGGCGAATGGGCTGGCTAGTGGTGCTGCTGGGGCTTCCCTGCAGTTTTGTTATATGTCCTGAAAATCCATAGCTCATCTGCACTTTGAAAAATATTATTTAAAATGGTTAAGGAACATCAGAAATAATTGCCATTACAAAAGCGAGGTTAAAAATGGATAATAAATCATAAACATGATCTGTCCCTATTTCAATCTTTAAATATAGTTAAGTAAGCTTATGCTGCAATCCTGAATTTTAGAAGATATCATATTTACCTTTATTACTTTTTGAATATAATACACACGATATTTTGGCAAGTGTAGGAGCATAGATGAAGAGGGGAGGCGGGTTGTGTCTCCCAGCAGCGAAATGGGCTTGTCAGTTTTGATGAACTATCTTTGGCTGCTCTGGTCGTCCTGTTTCGCTGCTAATGCTAATGCCTCTGACAGAGATCTATGTGCGGTCTGATTCATCCGAGTCCCAGTCTCAGTCTCAGTCTCGGTCTCAGTCTCAGTCGCAGACTCGGTTTCCTTTCGGGCTGCAGACCTCAAGATGAGGTCACGTACAACTGCGTCGACGTCCGCTTGTTTGGCTTATTAAATGTTTAGTTGTCCTGCCTCCGATTGCAGACATTTTCGGTCGTCGTCCTGCCCCTGCCTGCATTTAGTATTAATCTGGCTTAAATGTGATTAATGTCTGGTTTGCACAAAGGTTTCCTGCGTTTCCCTCAAGAGCCGTGCGGTCTGACAAAGCCTCAGATAAACTAAGCCGGGATCAGCAAGTGTAATCAATATTGCCATTAACATTCAGAATTCAATTAGGATTCGTGTCTGGGGGCCTTTTGGGCGTTTGGGACATGTATCTGATAACTTTTAACTGCTTAATGGTTTGTGGCTGCTTCCATTTATTGATAGCTTGCTGCAAGACGTTAATTACTAGGACAACGAAAATCGATTTAATTAGGTTTTAACTATCTGCCAGGGAAACTTTACATTAAGTGATAGTGACCCATTACGTTTGTATCTAAAATTTGGTAGTGTATTTATTTCAAGCCAAACATCTCCCCTTAATCAAATACTGAATCCCTCTGTGATGGAAAATAATCCAATAGCTGTCTCAATATTCCCCCATTGCCTCGGGTGAGTTTTACCCCCGCGCTGTGATTTCCCTGTCAAAGGAACCCCCTCGATTGCACCTTTAATGGCGCCATAACTTAGTGGCAATATCTTGTGCCCTGTGGCCACCGAGAGCAACATTCATTAGCTGTTCGCCGAAGCCGCTGGGTTTGCTTTAAAGTTGATTGTTTGCCAGCTGCTGCTGTGCACTTTGTGGTTTAATTAAAGCCCAAGAATTGGGCTTGAATCCGTGGAGTGTGGGGAGATGGCAGACAGGCGGCAGCTGCCTTAAACCAAATTACACTAATTGGGTTACCATATGACAGGGCAATGCGTCGACTGTGACATTTGTTTGCCATGGCTTGCCAATGCTTGCATTATGTCCGCCCACATCCTTCGCCCGCACAAACACGAGCACACAACAACACACACACAAATGCGCGGTAAAGGCAGACACTTGCCAAAAAAACTAATCTGAAAGCTAGAATAGTTCCTATGAAATATTTACTTTGACTCCAAATCCAAATTAATACGCGAAAAATATTATTAACTAAATGAAATGTTTTCAAACCTTTTTTAGTTTTTAATTGCGTAATTTTAGGGAATTTTTTTAAGTGTCACTTAAGCCCAGTCGTCAGTAAGTCCTTTACTCCACTGAGCGTTTGCATTCGCAGCTGCCAGCTTGTAATAAGCTGCAGAATCATTTTCCGCATGCCGGCTGCTTTGACAGCTGCAATAGCACACATGGCTCAAAGGGTCGAAAACGGCCCAAACCGGGGCAGGGGACCACGGGGAGTTGGCTAACTGTCGACCGCATTCCAAATGGAACCTAACGGAGTCTGGCTCACTTAATTTAGTGGACGGCGTTAGGTCTTTAAATGCCGGGTTTTATTTTGTTTAGTAGGATAACATCTGTTTCAGCCCAATTAGCTAGGGAAATCTGCAGTTTTCATTTATTTTATTCGAAAACATACTTCAAACGTCAATGGCTATTGAATTTAAACCCATTTAAGCCAATCATCAAACTTCAACTGCCGGCTCCATGGACAAGGACCTGCTGTTCACACTTTCTGCGGAGGACATTATGTCCTCCAGCATTCGATTGAGGGATTCGGAGCCCAGGGCGTAGTTTTGTTTATTGGCACTGCGATTGTGCATTGCATCTATGTAGACGTGACTGGAATCCGGTTCACTGCTAAAAATGTGCTGCAGGACATTGCAGATCCGTTCGGAGCCGAGAATCTTGGGTTCATCTATGGTCAATCCATCGATCACCGCCGTTTCCAAGTGCCCCGAAATCTTTGCAGGCGACTCCTCCTCGTTGACCCTCTTAAGAAACCAAATCGCCGGAGCGGATGCAAGGATACCCGCTGAAATCGTAGTCAGCCATTCGGTAAACACAATCATTGGATACGTGTTTCTATTGATTTTGATTCGAAACTTAATTTTGATTTGAAGTCTAGTCTTTAAAAGTTTGTTTCGAGTGCTTAGATTTGCTTAGGTTTTAAAAACTCAAAAAAAAAATCATGGTTTAATCTTCAGCATATTTTATTTCGTTGAAATGAAAAAGCGGCGAAATAAATTTTGGGCCACAGCGATAAAAAGTATTCCACAAAGAACTTTCAATTGTTACGTTCACTATAAAATATATTTGAATTTGGCGGTTATTAAAAGGAGTTGCCACATGGACACAAAATTATGTGTATTACAGTCCACCAAAAACCTAGACAAATTTATTTAAAAATATTTATTTAAATAATTTTGAGATATACATAAACAATTTATAGCATGAAATAAATACAAACAAATATTGCAAGCTATTTCAACGATAATCCATCCAACAGATACTTCCACCTTCAGTCAGCTGTTCAAAAAAGATGAAAATCAACCTGCGTGAGTATCGATAAAAACAAGCCAGATTTGGCTGAAAAAAAGCTAAGCTGGCAACCCTCAGATTGAGAAAATAAACATTCGTTTTTGATTCACCAAAACTTAAGAAATGCTGCCGGGAGTTGGTGTATTCGGAACTGGAGAGATAGCCAATGTGCTGGTGCCTCTGCTGCGGGAAAAAGGATTCGAGGTGCGGGCCATTTGGGGCAGGACCCTGAAAGAGGCCAAGGAGACGGCGTCCACGCAGAACGTGCAGTTCCACACGAACGTGATCGACGATGTCCTGCTCCGGAAGGACGTGGACCTGGTGTTCATCGTTTGCCAGCCCTTTTTGCACGCGGAGATCTCGGTGAAGGCTCTGGGAATCGGAAAGCATGTGGTGTGCGACAAGCCAGCTGGACTACACCAGCAGGATGCGCTGAAAATGGTGCGGGCCTCTCAGTATTATCCCACTCTGATTTCGCTGGTCAATCATCCGCTGCGGTTCCTGCCCGCCTTCACCCACATGCGTCGCTGCCTGCAGGAGGAGCTTATCGGCTCCATTGGCGACGTGGTGCTCATGGATGTGCGCGTCCAGATGGGCACTCTGTTCCCCGAGAAATACAACTGGATGTGCGACGCCCAAATGGGCGGTGGTGCCCTGAATCTGGTGGGATCCGTGGTGGATCTGGTCACTTTCCTGCTGCAACAGCAGGCCATTCGGGTCCATGGAGTTCTTCGTTCCTACACCAAAACCACTGCGGCCATAAATGGCATCAGGCAGATCACTGCGCCGGACTTCTGCAACTTCCAAATGGAGTTGGCCACTGGAACGCTGGTCACAGTGGCTCTGCACAGTCACACAGTGCCTGCGAAAGCCTTCTCCCAGGAGGTTCTCATCTACGGCAGCAAGGGACACCTGGTGGTTCGTGGCGGAGATCTATTCGTTCTGAAGGAGGGACAACCCAAGGAGGAAGCTGTCTACGTGGACGTTCAGGATCTGCACTTCGCCACCAACAACTCTTTGTTGCCGCGACCCTATATCAAGGGACTCTGCAAGATGGTGGGTGCTCTGAAGGAAGCCTTCGGCAGCAAGGAGTCCTCCTGGGTGAAGGCGCCCGTTTCAACAGCGGCCACCTTTGAAGACGGCCTGTATGTGCAGGCCGTGGTCGAGGCAATCCGGAAATCCAACGAAACCCGGCAGTGGCAACGGGTTCAGTTGTCCACCGACAGTCCCCTGAATCATGATCAAATCATTCGATATGCGCGCATGTCCACAATGTAAGGGAATCGGAGTTAAGTGCAATATCTAAAGGATTCCAATATATATTTTTTTATATAATGTACGTGTTTAGTCTGTAAGCATTTAACTGATTGGGGCTTTCAAGCCTGAATCACCACCATCAAGGTATTTAACTTATTTGTACGGCATTTTCATTCTGAAACTAATAAAATTGATTTATTTGTTAGGCTCGAAATGTGGTCATTTACTTAATTGTTTTTATATCCAGGTATACAAATGATAATTAAGAACTGCATTGGCAACTTGATTAATGCTTCACTTGTATAATTTGCACTTTTTGTGACAATATAAATTACATTTTAGTTTCGATTTGTACTATGTGTCAAGCGTATTAATATGTATAATGGTTATATGATACTTGGATTGATATCAGGAACTTTATAACCAGTCGAACGCCAAATGAAATCAAATTACAAATGATAAGTAATCAATTTAACCAGACAATTTATTACGAAATCAAGATAATCAAAAACTAAAGCATTTGCTACACGAACTAAACATTATGTTCCACATTGAAATAATTCGAACTTAGCACTAAAACTAAAACTAAGGAGACAAAACAAAATGTTGATCACAAATGTATCTTTGTTGCGGACTTATAAACGTATGGATGAATATTCAAGATTTGGCATAGCTGGAATTCTCCGCGGGATCGGGAACCCAGCTCAGTTGATGAAGTTTACTAGGCAAGATGATAACTGGGGGTTAAAATTGTGTGTTTGTGTTACGTTTCCTTCTTGTTTTTGGTATATCAGCACTTAAACTGGAGTAAACTACCCTAAAGCCTTCTTGCGTACAATGTTTCAGAGATTACATAAATAAATACCTTAGCTAACTTCGGATGGGTCAATCAATTAAAAAAATAAAAGGAAATTTTATAAATTCAGTGTCGATCTTAAAACTAGAGATTAAAAGACACCCGATTATTTACAGAAGGATTAAAACCTCGAGTAGAATATCCCAGGTATCCTATCGTCTGTTGAGCTTGTGCCACAATGTGATGAGGGTCAGGACGTGCATGACCCCGATCACGGTTCCCATCAGGATGAGGCAGTCGGACATGTGCACGTCCGAGATCATCATGTACTTGAGGAAGACCTTCGGGCTGCGGAAGTGGCAGTACATCGCCGTCTCGGGGCACTCCAGGAAGGGTCGATCCATGCCGTAGATGGCGTTCAGTGCCCCGTGGAATCCGGCTCGGAAGTAACTCAGGTGCCACATCCATCGGAAAAGGGGCGTTATGTCAATATAGCGTGTGCAGAATCCGAACACGGAGAACATCACAGCCAGAATGGGTCCCAGAAAAACGGCAAGCTAATGCAGGAAGATCAATCATAATTAATTTGCTTTGCGGTTGGCTGCTGGAGTGCTTAACCCACCTTAGTCGGCAGCGTGGCTCCCACGAAAAAGCCCCAGGCCTGGGCACTTAATGAGGCCATTATTCCCAGCAGCATGAAGTAGTAGATCCGGAATGAATCCACCACATCGTTGCCAGTGAGGTGTACGCTGATGACAATGTACATGGCGGTACAGAGACTCTGTAGTATATATAAAAAATATATTAGATAGTTAGCTCTGACAATTAAACTTGAATTATAAATATTTAATGTATCAATGCACATGAAAAATGGTATTGTACAAATTAAATAGCTTAAATAATTTATATTGATATAAATATAATAAATGAAAGTCATTATGTTGATAAATAATGATTAAATTTGTTTAACTTTTGATTTATGACACTTTAAAGCTAATTGATTGGAAACAAATCTTTTCGCGCTTATTTTAGGTTTATTGAACAATTGGGTATATCCAATTATGAGAGAGCTGCCTCTGAATTACCAGTGCTATTGGAATTTACAGCTTGAGATTTACAAAGAAATGTTTCCCTTTCATAACTCAATTTGCACAGCCATCAATCTCGAAAACAATAGAGCCCACAAAAGAAATGCTTTGTGGTATGCGCAGAAAAAATAGTAAAAATTTCTCTCTATATGTAGTACACCAGAATATTGGAACAATCGCTGCAAAATTACAGGTAGTCCTCAGCCGTCAAGCTTACGCGATTCTGTCACGCAAATGAAACGCAACTCGGACATCGGCGATTTCACATCGTTAATTTGACTTAATGACCGAACGGCAATTCATTTGAGCAGCCACCTATGAAAGCTTAGCTTTGAATGATGATTAATGATGCCACCGCTGAGTTCTGATCGGCTTAGTTAGTTATCCAATAATGATGGCAAGGCTTACCTGGAAGGGTATTTCGAAGGAGATCAGCGAGAGGAAGTAGGGACCCAGTTTGTACCAGCGGTTGAAGTGCTCCCGTGTCAGCATGTCAATTTCGAGCGGAACTGCGAATAAATTAATTGATAAACGCGACTTAGATTTAATTCGATGCGATGTGATGCCCGATCACGAAGGCGAGGGTATTATATTATACATATGTAGGTCAGGTCAGTAAACCGAAACCGGTAAAGCCGACTCCCCCGACTCCTCAGATGTCTCCTGTCTGCAGTAATTTATTGAAAAGCGCGTTGAGAATCGCCGGAGAACCGGTTTTATTATTCGATAATCTCAAGCCTGTGTCTCTTGACCGTATCTCTTGTATTTTATAATTATCTGCTTATTGGCTTTCAGGATCGCCTTTTTTTCGGGAGTGAGAAATTCAATTTTCGGTAATTTACATGGAAATTATAAATGACAAAGTGGTTCGAATAAGATCTGATATCGCCAAGCAAATTTTCAAGCCGGCCTTGTTGCTGAGGTTAATGTCTTCAATTATTTGTTTTAATTAAGTCAATTTTTGACGATTTTTTTTAATTTAAAAGGGGAATTAAATGTATATGAACTTTACAGGAGTCAACAGGCTTTTTGACCCACAATTACTCTGTTTAAAAACAAACATAAACGCAACAAGTTTTTAATAAGAATATTATAATTAAGCTTCCTAAAGTTATTATCACAAAAATCTCTAAGCGGTATTCTACAGACTAAGTCCAGCTAATTATCTTCTATCTAAGCTAGTAATCTTGTTTCCTTTTGGCCAATTAAGACCCGAAAAACTTTTGTTCAAATGCAAAAACTTATTGGCCAATCCGCATTCCACGAAAAAATAAATAGATAAAATAAAAGCCATTGGCAGGTTAGAATGCGGCAAGCCAGAGACAAAGCAAATAAATAGATATTGCACAAGAACAGCTGCAGCTTTTTTTTGCCAAATTTGGTGACAAATTTTTGCATAATTTTACCAGCCGCGAAAACTGTTGAATGAAAAAAGGAGAGGCCGAGGCACAGGCACTCGAAACCACTCGAGAACCACTTGGAAAAAAGCTCTGGGGTGAATTATCTTGGGGGTTCGAGTGGCCAAGCAGCTACTTACATGTCAAGACCACAGCCATTTTGCCGGTGTAGACCAAGAGCAGAGTGGAGCCGTAGAGATAGACGTAATTGCCCAGCACACTCTGGGCATTGTTGCCCACGTTCATGTACAGATATCCAAAGACGACTCCAATGAAAATGTGCGAGAATATGCGGGCCAGCAGCAAAAACTGAAAGAGATACGGGGCATTAAGATACAAGATACTAATCAGGTAAGTTATGCTTAGTAACTTGATTTTTTCTCTTTAATTGTAATAGTAATTTAATGAACAGTCAGTTTTTTTTTGTTACAGCCAGTTCCAAGAATTTTCGTTAGTGGCTTTTGTATGCCTTGTAAAACTTAAATAGTTTTTTTTCCCAAAGTAAGACAAAGATAAATGTTTTCACTTTAAATGACACGTTAAGGGCTGGTTTCTCAAGGTAGTGCTAAAATTTGCCATGTTGAAAAAATTACAAGTGTCAGAGTAAATGGTAGGCTTTTATTTACAAAACAGTAAAAGGAAAAGTGGGATGTTACGACTGTTTATTAATATAAGTATGCATTAGCATTGACATTCAGTACTTAAAATATCTTCTGAAGGTTCCCATTTATGATGGCTATTATTTTGACCAGTGCTGTTCCCTTGAGTGTGGGCAGCCGGCAAAGCAATAGAGAAACAAACGCTCGTGCAGTCGTGGATGTTGGCCATTAGAACACTCTAAAACAAAAATCTATGTGAAGGCTGCGTGGTGGTGGCATTACTTTTTGAGTTACGACCCGCTCGAGTGGGCCCAAAGATTCTCGATGTCGCCTTTTGGCCGGCTTCTGTGACACTAGCAAGTCAATATGGACTCGAGAGGTGCTAAACGATCCAACCACACACTTGAGGTCTTGAGTGCAGTGTGTATGCAGATCCACATTAATCGTGTGCAGTCACAGTCACATAAAGACGACTTAACTCGCTAATTGCTCGTCCCACAAACTGTTCAATTTCACATTTTAAGCGTATGCCAAGTGCTAATTGTGCACATTCAAATGATAAACGTCAGCCATCAATCTCAGTGGCACTTCTGATTACAAAGTAATTTATTTATTTATTTGTTATGGTAAATATTTGATCGCCTACTCTGACTCATTTGTTTTCTAATAGTGCCAAGAGGCAGATAAATATTTGGGAAGAGCTCAAAAACGTGACAACTACGAAACATGTTTAATGAAATATTTGCATATCAACTTAATACTCGCCTGGGCGAAGTATTGTTCAGTTGTGAAAAAGCGCTTTACACAATTGGAATTTCAGAGAAATCGTAACAATTATTTACATGAATTACTTGCAGAGCTCACAATTAAAACCTTACCTAATTTCCCACAAAAAACTATATTTATGATGATTATATGTTTAAGCATACAACTTTTGGAAACCCTCAGCCATCTCCATTTCAAAATGTAGTTAGTGCCCTATTATAAGCCACATGCATGATCTTATATCACCATTAAAGACATGCACAAGTGCCATTTTCTTGGGATCTTCTTTTTTTGTTTGCGAAATCCGAAAGCGTGGCAAAGCGGCGAACCTTCCCAAAAAAAAATGTTATAATACTTAATGTGTACTACGGCAACAAAATGGTAATGTTCAACTGGGCCGTAATTACTCACAAAAAAATTAAACAAAAAATAAAAAGCGGCTCTTTAGGAGATTAGCCATTAAGAATTACGCAGAAAACGAGATCAGCAGCAACTGGATTCACTTTTTTCGAGGACGCCGAACCAATTACCAAATCAACTTGACAGATCATCAACGCTTAACGCCACAGCCCTAACCGGCTTTAAAGCCTAATTGCTGCCCACTTAATGCATTCAGTTTGTTGCAGTGCACTCGGGCTCTTATAAGTTAAATTTTTAATATTTCGAAAAGCAGGGTAGCAAACGTTACTTTGTTAATATTAACTTTTATATAGGACTGGTTGAATTAAGCGTACATTTATTTAGCAATGCAATCAACTGATTTTGTTGTAGGACAAGGCTAGTGCGCGTCATTGAAGCCGGGGCTGTATTTTTTACTTTTATTACTATATTTTGTATACTCACGTAGCTGCGTTTGGCACAGATCAAGATGCGCTGCATCAGGAGGAGGTATTGCATGAGGAACGAGGCCGATCTGGTGGCATTCGACGGCTTGGCAAGCTCTTTTTCGTTGGCAAGTGGCTGCTGCAGTTGGTTTTTCTCCAGGTGATCTTGGTCCACCGGCTCCGTGGGACCGCTGAGTGCCTTGATCTCCTCCAGAGCCAATTCCTGCGGCGACGCTTTCACATAATCGTAGCTGGAGAATTGCGACAGCGCAACTGACTTTCCCAGCGTCTTGCCGCCAATCTTGTCTGCAATTCGCGGGAAAAGGGGAAGCGAAAATTAGAGAAAGTACATAATAGAGCATTTGCCATTTCCCTTGGACAAACTGTGTACCCAAGAAAACCACGAAGTAGATACAGAAAGATAGATACGAATAAAACCAAACCCGTGAAACACCTTAACTTTTACAAGGCAGACTTTGGTAGCCTCTGTAAAAATATTGGCATGTACATGAAGATGGTATCAGGCCGCTGACTATAAAATTATACCCGTAAAGTTTCATTCAAACTTTTAATTTAAGAACCGGTAGTAAGCACGCAAACTATTATATATGTATATAGTATAGCATATATAGCATGGCAACCGAACAGAACCTACCTGTAATTGTTGCCACGAGGCGAGTCATATCGGCACTGCTCATATAGCGATAGCGATCGACATCCTCGTAATACTTTTTATTGGCCGCGTGGATTAGTTCATTCAGATCACGTTGATGCTCGCCCACGGCCACTTCCAGCACTGAAATCCCGATGCAAATGGATTGTTATATAGGTATACAGATACAGATTTTTAATTCACACTTACGATAGTCCGCCGGGTTGTGATAACTCGGGCAGACGAGCTGCTGGTCGGCGAGGAAGGGAACCAACTCCCTGACAGGACCCTGGTACATGCAGTGGCCATCCACCACGGTGTAGAGCTTGTCGAACATCTCGAAGATCAGGGCACTCGGCTGGTGGATCGTACACACTATCGTGTGGCCCTGCGAGGCGAGTTTCTTCAGCAGAGCCACGCAGGAACTGCACGAGGAGCTGTCCAAGCCACTGGAATACCAAGATAAAACAACCAGAACGACCCAAAAATTAATTAAAGTTTTAGAGTGACTCAACGTGGTTTAATTGCCAGCAACCTAACCTTTGGAAAGTTAACGAACAAAACCCCCATTAAACAGTGAGTAAAAACCGAGAAAGACAAAAAGAACATTACGAATTGGGCAATCTGAAACTTTTATGGTAGGTGAGATTGCGTTGCTTGAACTTGAAACGAAATTAACTGAAAGTAGCAAACGAGTTTGTTCCCGAAATCCATTAACGGATGCAATTCAAGCGGCATTACACAGATTCGATCGACCTGCAGTATACAATTCATTAAACAAGATCAAAGAACGAGTTTAATTAGATATGATTGACAGGTCGAGTATTTCTTTTAAGAAAATTGCTTATTAATGTATACAAATGCCGTAATTTTGTTTGCTATGCAAATTTTCATTGCTTTTAAGATCAAGTCCATCGGTGCTTGGTACTTCCAGAAGCTGACTGAATCAAGAATTCATACAAGAACTTTATCCAAGTCGTTCTAGGTCACCATGTCACTTAATCCCCAGACGATGTTTGATATAAGTACGAAACCCTTAATTGCTGCAACAAACAATTAAAACAATCTCTGCTTGTTCCCATCAATAACCATTAAAACAATTTTCAACTAATGAACGACTCAATAGATTGCTTATTATATGCGATACAATTCAGTCATTAAAATAATAATCAATAGCAAGACACATTCCCTATTCAACAAATTTAAATAAAAACCCGCTTTCTGCTTACTGAAAGCCACCTAAATGGAAAATGGAAACTAATGTGCGGATCGAGTGGGCAATATAGACAATTGATAAGCCCTAATGTCATTTAGACGGGGACAAACTTGACTTGTGGGTCAGCCCTGAGTTTGCTATTATTTTTTGCTGAATTTCCGCTAGGCAAAGTTTGCTCATCATCCTCATTATCGCGATGATGACGATCATTATCACGGCTATTCTAATTACATAAGTCTGCTATATAGAGTCACTTACGTCGTCGGCTCGTCCAGATATAGTACGGGAGGATTACTTATCAGCTCCAGGGCAATGGCGAGTCGCTTCTTCTGTCCTCCGGAAAGCTTTCCCGTGGGCACATTATAGCGATGATCCAGACCCAGCAGCGATAAGATGTGTTTGATCTGGGAAAGATAGCAAAATATTCAAGATAAGGCAATTCTAAATAATAAATAATAAGGTAATTCTGTATAAAAAATAAAATTCCCTTCAAGCTGTTATCAAACCAAAACAAATGTATATAATATCAAAGAACGATCTCTTACCAGATCCATTTTGTACGCCTTGGTGACCTTGAAGCCCAACTTCAGATGGGCCGCCAGAAGCATTATCTCCCCCACCATGAGTTGGGGTCGCAGGAGATCGTCCTGGTGGATATAGCAGAGCATCTGGCGGAATCTCTCCGAGCTGGGCGACATTGGCTTTCCATTCACTCGTATATTGCCCGACACTCCAGTGGAACTTTAGAAAAAGCAACGAAGAGGTAAATAAAGAGTGAAAATGTGTCGAAGAAAAACGGAATGATAATCAGCAAACACAGCAATTAAAATAATTATAATAGCGTACACGAGTTCAACATACAATGGGGCTGAAAAAAAAATCTCAATAGGCGTCTGGAACGGCGAAGTGAACCGAACTATATATATAGTACATACTTTCAAGTTCATAGTTTACTGACCGATAACGTTTAGCAATAAATCTCGTGTGCCGCTGGAGAATTAAACTTTACCACCACATTCATTACTTTAATCATGGCAATTACACGAAAGCGGCAATTGCCAAGTTTTGTTTCAAAAACAAAATTAAAAAGTTTCCGCCCCTACATGTGCAGCTCGTATAGAAGCTAAATCAAGTCTAGAATGTTTATATACAAATGCTGTAATAACTGTCAGTTGGCCATCAAAAATCTTTGCGATTAAGTAGCTGCAAGTATTTCCTTTTAGATGCGGTCAGTGACTCAGACAATATTATATTTATTTCCACCCCGGTCTGAAGTCCTATTTATGCAATGGGTGAGAACTTGAACTGCCGGAGGAAGTGATGCGATTATGTCCGGGATGGAATGCCAATCGCAGAATAATTAAATCATGCGATTGTGATTCATATTTTAGAAATATGCACAGCAAAATAAACAACATTATTCACTCAAAGGGTTTTTAGATTGGAAAAGTAATATAAAATTATATTTTATCATCATCCTTTTAAAATAACCCCAAGTAATAGCCATTTTAATGAGAAGGTGAATAAGTGTGCATTGTATAAGTACGGTGATTGTAAAAAAGGTCAGGATTGAGTAAAATTCCGCAAATGAGACCCACTTAGGCCCTTTAATCTTTAGCCCACCTATATATAAACTAAATAATATAGTAACCAATTGCAGCTGTTTCACTTGCCGACACTTGAACAATGTGTTGATTGATTGAACGATCGCGACGTCTGCAGTTTATGTGAATACTCGATGTGTCCAATGTGTAATTAAACGGCATGAAACCAGCACTTGCACACTCAGCGATATAACCATAAATTAACCCGAAGCTGTCTGAGGAAAATTGATTTTTCGTAAAGGGGAGACTCACCTAAAACCGGACATCACATTCAAAAGCGTACTTTTGCCGGCTCCGGAAGGACCCATAATGGCAGTGAGTTCGCCTGAACGAAAGCTGCCATTGAGACCATGGAGGATTTCCTTGGTAACTGTAATAGTTAAAATAAAAATATTTATTTAAAAAGGTTTATTAGTTTGCTTGACTAAAGAGCCTACCAAATTTTCTTTCTGGAAAAGAGAACTTTCTCACAGTGTATCGCACGTCGGAGAACTCGATGTCCACTGGATCGCAGTGGTCGAAATTGGCATGAGCCACCGCCTGGTGATAGTTTGGCTTTTGGAATCCGTTCAGATCGTTCGTCACCTTGGTGGTCAGCTCTGAGGACCCTCTGGACGAGGTCGAAGAGGTCTCATCGATGGACAGCTCCGAGCTGGCGGCGGTGGTGCAACAGTTGATGCCCAGGCAACCGCTGTCGTGGCTATCATGATGACCTTTGTGGCTGCCCCCGGAACTGCTGCTTGCATCACTATTTGCACCACCGACACAGCAGGCGGCGTCCGAAGCCTTGATATCTGGCAAGAGTGTCATGTTTTCGCTGATTTCTCAATATTTCTGATTAGTAAAATACTCTGAAAGAAGAGACAAACAAAAAAGCATATTCAAATTTATTGCAAACTGAGCAAAGGTTCAAGAAACAAGGAAGATTAGTCTTATCACCGCAGACTCGTTTAAATGCGAGTAAATAAAACAAACTTTGAAATGCATCTTCTACTAAGTCTAATATTAATTGAAGTTCTTTCCTACTAGTTATTTGTTTTATCTGTATTCAGATTACACATCCGTAATTAAGGGCCTCTCAACAGTTTTCCCCGTGTGTAAAGAATTATAATAGCAGCTCTGGAATTAACGACCTGTTTGTTCGTTGGGGCGTTAACTTCATTTATAGTTGATATTTGCTTAACAACAATTTTGTTTGCAGCAAGCAAATTAATTTTTTGAGGGCGTTTACGCTTTTCGCAATTCAGTTAGACACTTTGTAGTCGTACTGCAGTTGCCCAACCAAAAAAACTTCTCAGATGCGTCACAAAACAACTTTATTCTTTTTACACATTATATTTTTTTCATTTTGCTCTTACTGAGAACTTCTCAGGGCTTTTGTTTAAGCCTGTCTCGAACAAAGAAAGTTGCTGTAATGTAAAAATAAATTATAAAAGATGAGTGTGCTTCGTTGAGTAAAGTCTGTCAGACTGATGGATAGACAATTTGTTGTAGACTGAGAGTCTGAAGAATTTCTCCATTAAAATGGGAATTATACATAAGGTATTCTGACGGGTGTATTTACAAACTGGGTTCAAAGACCAAGGAATGTAACCAAATTAAACTTTTGCTTGTCATCTTCCATAGTTTCTCTTCTTCGTCTCGATGACTCCACAATATGCAAAAATAGCCACTCAAAAGTGGAATAAAATTCAAAACTTACTATGAAAAAACGGTGCCAATAGCAAATATTGATGTTTAACTTGGATGAAATTAGAATTAATTTATAGTTGATTATTCTCTAGTTAGCTAATGTTTGCTAATTTTATGTACCCTTGACTTAGGTCAGTACTTTTCTGCCCGATTTAAGGTTTGCTAATTGGTTATTCAAACAAATAGAAAGGAATCGCCTAGAACGTTGTTTGCGTTTGGAAAGGTTCTAATAATAAAAGAGAATGTTTTGGGAATCATGTAAAATAAAAGTCATTGTCCCTTTTGTGGAATATATCTTACATTATCTCGAAACCTTGGCCCAAACTGGAATATCTAGGCTATGCAGCCTATTGTGTTTCCATATATGCACTCATGCAAATTAGCTTTACAAAGTTCTTTCGATTCGGAGACACTTCAAATGCTATTTTTTATTTACAACCAATAACTTCGGGCGGCTCTTTTTAGCCGAGTTGCCTATACATAGATTTTGCATTTGTGTTTGGCCAACAAGTTTCGAGTGGGTAACTGATATTGACTTTGATGTAAAGAGTTTGTGTCTGGCTTGTTAACTGAATGACAAACCAAACAAAATCGGAACCAAAGGAAACCAGTTTTTTACAAAAAGAATGGCACGAAAAAAACTGCAAACTCATTTTCAAGATTTTTCGCAGTCTTAAATTAGCCGAAAAAACTAAATCGGATCAAGTCTAGAGGCGCGGTCTGATCTTGGTGCAAAATAGAAGTTCAACTGGTTCTGTCTTGAGTGCGATTCCAGTGCAGTTTCATTGAGTTCACAATTTCCATCGATTGGGAGACGGCTTTCAATTGGGTTCAGCATATGGTCGCCAATTTATGAATTTGGTCGAATGCCATAATTATATACATAGACATTTTTGGCCTGGGCTTGTCAGTGCATACTTAATTCGAATCATTACAGTGTGGAATGCTTTGAATAAGCAATTGTTACTAACATATTTTAGCACTCTTATTTTAACATCATTAATTCAGTTTTCCTCTATGATTCACACATTAATTGCGTATGCACTTTAATACCTAAAGATCGTGACATAGCTTTATAAGCGGCTCAGAAGCACCGAAACGAAACTATGAGAATCCGGGTATCCATTTATTTTTTGGAAAGCTCCCGTCGCAAAGGTCGTTGGGACCTTTAGACACTCTGGCTGTTCATAACTCATTCAATGCAAATTGTTATTTTACTCGCCGACATGCAAATACATAAAACTCGAAAAAAATCGAAAAACGCTCGCCATTTCAATTAAAGTCACGAAACTGAGAAATCATGAACAACTTCAGTACAAAAATAAAAGTATAAGAGAACTACAATAGAATGAGGCAATTGATCGTTTTGGTTTGGTTACTGCAAAGCCCGGCGATAAAAAAAAAAAAAAAAAAAAAAACAGAACGAAGAAAAAACTGAGTCGCGCATTACGTATACGACCCCTGGAGCCACTATTGCCTTGCGATAAAGAAAAGTGACATCGCCAAGGCCAGCACGTGGTGAGCTAAATAATGTTAATGGATCAGGGTTTATCTCAGCCAGTAGTCTGGGGGAGTCTGTCAAACAAATGTGCAAAAGAATGAGTTCTATGGCAACGTCGCAGTAGCCGGCAAAATTTTAAGTTTGTTTTGATTTTCAATATTTGCTTTGCCTTTTCGAGCTTCATTTTTTATCTGGTTTCGAGTGTCAGTCAGCCAATGACCGCTATATTCGGTTTGTTTATAATTTACGAGTGCATTAGTTGACTTTTGTTTGTTCGTGAGTTGTTATACTGTTTTGTCTCCGTAATTGGGCGAAATTAAGACGATTGAATGGGAATTGGAAAGGGGAAAGCCCCTAGGGACTCAAAATACAAAATCAAACTGAGATTTTTAAGAGACAACAAATTACACCAACTGCTTTTCAAACAAATTAGAAACACATGGCAGATTAAACATAGAAGTGAATAAATTAGCATAACACAATTCCCGACTCGCCGACTGTTGCAACTTGAAATTCAATGCACAAGTCATGAATAAGTTTGCCGAAGCAGAGTGATATAACTAGAAAAGCAGCCGCTTGTAGGATCGCATAATCGAGTGGGAGTGGGTCGCACGATAAAGAAAACTCAGCCGATTAGAGTCGATTTTCGAGCGATGGCCTACATTTTCCAGTTTCAAGTTCTGTATGCGGCGATAGTGCAGTGATTTGGAAAGGCAAGCGAAGTATGCAGAGTAAGCGGGAAAGCTTTTGTTCCAAGAAAGGCGAACTAATTTATGCAGCTGATACACAAAGCGAAATCAGAACTTTGTTATCAAAACGTTACAATTTTAAAATAATAATGTTTAAAACATTTTAAATAGGGATGAGGCATACAAATTTTTTACCGAACACTAAATTTGTATAGCTCAAAAAATAATGTGATCTCGAAAACTGCACTTTCGTTAAAATAAACCTATGTATATATTTACAATATTATTTATTTGTGTAAGTGCTTCCAATTTTTTCTGAGTGTTAAAGAAACGTTTAGTATTCGTCTGTTCTTTTTCTACACAATTCTTCTGGTGATTCAACTCGCTCCTGCACTCCACTCTTCCCAAAGCTTTCTTTCTTTCTTCTTTTACTGGGTCAAAAGGTAATTTAGCGGTGTTAACGAACCTGTTGACTGCAAGTTCTTCAGTTGTTCTTTCTTCGATTTTGGATTTTTTAAGCTCCGCCTACTTTTCTATTTGCGGTTATAGTATACAAAGATTTTGGTTTCTGCTCGAGAACCGAGGTGATGCGACGTCAAATTGAACACAGAACAAACTTTATGAATGAAAACACATAATCAAACAACAATGTTTTTAGGTATTCGCAATCCAATTGTATCGCGGAATAATTGCAGTCCTCTTAATTAACCTTTCATTAACATATAAACGAACACGCGATGATTGTTTTATTGTTGTTAGGCGCACTTCTCGGTTTTTGTTTTTCTAATTTGATTTCGTTGCACTTTCTTCACATTTTTCCGTTCGGACTGCTTTTGCTCCGGCTTTTGCCTCTGCTTCCATTGAACTTATGCAGATGGGCAGCGACGCGTAAATTAATTTCAATTGCGTCTGCTATACATAATGTGCTTCGATTTTCTGTCTGCCTCGATTTTCCCCGATTCTGGCTATATGTACATATAGCTGCATGTGCGTCCGCGTCGCTCGCTGCCGATCAACTAAACGGCGGAGCGCTCTCCGCGAGGCTTTTATAAGACCCCCATTCCGAACCCGACTCAGCTGCTCCACCGCGCCAGCTGTTGATCGCTACCGATCTCTCTGTTTCCCCGGGAAACTCTCCTCTCTCTTGCCGGCTGCTTACGTTTCCTGTTACGTTACGGGATTACTCCCAACTCCAACACCTGGCATTCCAAAAAGCTTTTGGGTATATTCATTTTAACCTCACCAAAGAAAGTTATGGGTACAGAAATTACCTTTATCAATTCATTAGATACAAGATGACATTTATCAAGATAGTAATCATTTTAAAAGAATGTCTATAATTACATTAATGGTGATATAAGCCAGATTCAAATTACTTTTCATTAAACATACACATGTATTGCTAAAGAAAGGGTAATAAATAATTAAGGTAAATAACTTTCAATTAGTTTTTGCATATGATTATAGCATTAATGGTAATTAAACCGTGACCTCTATTACGATCCCGTTATGCTTTACGTACTACGTAAGAGGGGAATCGCTCTCTTGGGTAAATCTCCCGATTTCTTTCTGGTTTTTTCACCAAGCATTGTTGCGTGGTTTGCACAAGTCAAAGTCAAGTTTTTCCTATGACGCTGACTGCGTTTTAGTTCACAATAGCTTTTTTTTCTGTTAATCATTTTGCGGTATTGTTGATTTATGTAAAAATGTGGAAAATTGCGGTTTCTTTGGGACTTTGAGTTTAGTAAAATAGGGATCATGGTTATTTGGGTTTTATCGACCAACAATTAAAACTGGTACCCAGTATTTATAATCATTTATTGACATTAAAGTATTGATTTTGCAATTATTGGTTTTTGCAGGGCTAGCTTGTTCGTTTGGGGGATTTACGGGAGAAGATGGAGCTGGAAGCACTTAATTGGGTTCAGAATAGCTCACTTAATTGCTTAGCATTTATACAAGTTTTTACTGGGTTATTCTTATTCTATCAGAAAAACCTTGTTTAAACAATTTAAATACCTTAGGTTTAATTATTTGAATCAATAAAGTCTTTTAAAGAAAATTCTTTAATTGTCGGTACTTATTCGGATTATCAATTTGTGGTTGTTTTTTCAATTTTTATTGATTAAAGTCTTATTGAATGATGTATGTAGCTAGTGTGTCATTTAGTAGTACATTGTGTTTTATGAAGATTTGTATTCCCTCATAATACGATTGGAATACTGAATAGATTTTTATCTCCTAAGCCTACTTAATTTTCTGATCAGTCGGGCTCGAACTATTCCCTTAAATTGAACTGTGGGCACCCTTCATTATTAATAGATTCCGACACGATCCAGCCAAAGATCAAAGATCTGGCCCTACCTTTAAATCCCTAATCACCCCTCGTTTTTTGCTAATACATTGTTGTTTTATACAGATGCTAAGCTTGCAATTAAGCGAAGAAAATATTGTTAGTGGGTCATATGAAAATATCTTAAATTGAAGGGCTGGCATTTGATTGGGCCATAGATTTTAATTTTTTTATAATTGAGGTGATTTAACTGGGTTCGTGAACTTAGCTAGAAATTACTGGCCAACACTCGGATGAATTGCGCAGTTTTCTAGCTCCGCATAGTCAGTAATTAATATCGCCGAGATAAAGTACAAAGATAGCGATCCGAAGCTCTGATAATGCAGTTATTTGCCCTGCTTATCAGGACCCAATTATGTGGGTGTTTGTTACCGGCAATATTTGCTGATACTCTTGTTTTTGTGCATCCGCTGATTAGGCTACCAACTACGCCCAAAACAAAACACTTGCTGCACGTCCCACGAACTTTGGCCAGGTGGGAGCCCAGGTATACTATCATCCAACCCCCAGCTAATATACTCCATATGATGATTTATGCATCTGCAATGTGTGGATTCCCTCGGCATACGAATTAATTTGTAATTGGCAGCTCGTTATTTTCCCTTTCAGCGTGGGTTTGAGTAGCTTTACTCGAGATTTCGTTGAAGTTCAATGGTGAGTCAGATTGAATTAAAAGGGGTTACTACAAATAATCAAAACTTGATTGACACATTTATTTTGAATCAGTTTAATTTGGTATTCAAAATCAGAGGTAGCATTTTTTGACCAATTATTTGTTTATTATGTCTGGAAGTTGGTGATAAAGCTGCCTTATCAGTATGGCCCAACTTATAATTAAATATTTTGAAAGCTATCAAAATATGTATTTATATATTATATGAAGCAAACAAACAAAACAAAACAAAATTTAATATTTTAAACCAAAATTGTTTACAGTTTGTTTACATTTTTTACGACTTAAATTTGTAAACATTAAAGATTTTCCGTTAAGCAGTTGTTGATAAACAGCGAAACTATATTCACCCACTCGCATTATATTTATGAGCTAGTTTTCCATTCCCCTATTCTCGAACCATATTCGTAAACCCAAAACTTGTAATTTTCAAATGAGGCATTTCTGAATAATTTATCTCTTACCTTTTTTCTCAAGCTTTTTTAATGTGAAAAAGCGAATAAGCTTTAAACAAATTACGGTTTGTTGACAGTTTTTAAACTACGCAAGCAAGAGATCACGTTGAAGATGTTGATGACGATGATAATGTTGAATGGCGCTATATGTCCGCCGAACTGATTAGACATCGCGTGTCCCATGTGAGGGAAAACCTTTTGGGTGTAGTGAAAGATGTATATATTCTACACTTTTATTAAATATTTATATAAGACCACTATCCCTCAGAGGTGACACGATGCCAGAGCGTGCTTTTCATAAATGCTGCTCTCTTCCAGTACAAATCTTTCCAATTAAGGGTTCAATCTCGGTTCAAGATCAGCTACTTTTTGCAAAATAGGAAATAATCTGAGCGACACTTTTTTTTAGCTCAAAACAAAAACTCTTAGCTGATAGCGAAATTTGAATCGAAAACTGCGGACAGCAGACAATAAACAAGTGAACATGAGAAGTCTTTCCTTATGCCCGGCCAGAAATCGCAAGAAAATAAAATCGCATTATTAAAAGTCCACTTTGGACGCAAAATGTTTTTCTAATGAGAGGCATAAACCAAAATCCACTATAAATATTTATAGGTATTGGTATATAGCCAGAACAAAATCGGCTTACGTACCATATGCACAGCAAACACCATTTGGCAACTAATTAAGGTTCTGGCGGATCGAGGGGAATCGGAACCGAAAGTCTGGCTTTCTGTCTCTAAGCCTGATTGGCATGCATACACTGCAACAAAAGGGAGGCAGGGGATCCCGATTGGCGTGACGTTAGATGAATGTGGACATATCAATGAATGGATAAGTTTATTAAGAGACGGGGCTACTTGACATTTTGGTCTGCTCCAACTTGTCGGGATTGCGGATTCTCGGCGATCGTGACGATGGTAACGTAGTCCAAAGTTGAATGAATTATATGATCCGATGCTATATAGTTCAGTGCTTGGATGTGGGTGCGTTAATAGTTTATGGGAACGGATTTTAACGAACCGTAAATTATAATGCTATAATGGCAAAAATAGCGTAAAGCATTAATGCTTTATGGCCTTTGGGAGCCTTTCAGTTTCATAACATACCATGGTCATTAAATCATGTGTTATTTAAATAGTTTGATGAAGAAAATATAGTTTTTAATAAGAAATATGCAAATGCCTGTTAAAATAAGCACCACGACAAATCAATTTCTGTTAAGTGCTTCCCCAAGCCAAATTACAATAGATATTCCTATTAACCCAAACACGATGCAAATTGTGGGTTCTTTCCATAACCACCCAACCACCTCATATCACCTCCCCTCTGGGTTTCTTTATTATTATGCGTCACTTTCTTTCCAATCCACCAAAAAAACAAAAAAAAGAACTGCCGAAAACCCACCGGAAAGACAACGAAAAAAGGACTGAATTGAAATCAGAATTCCAGACACGCGAGGCATGACAGAACTTTATAATTAAGCCAAATTTTCTTATACCGAAAGGTGTATTCAAAAAGGAATATGAGTACGCAACCGATTTGCATATGAATATCAATATGCTTTTGGTCATTTCATTGTGTTTCACAACCAGAAAGTTGAATAAACTGCAGAGAAAAGGGAAGACGTGTAAGGCGATGATGATCCATCTCGAGAACCCTAGATCCCAGAGGTGGTTGCACCCACCACTCAACCTTCAACCGATGCCAGCTGTCAATGGCCCAACCTTCAGAGATTATTGCTGGAAAAGCGAGGAAAAACAATACTGGATCACACAGCTGCTGCAACCGGCTGCTTTATCGACATGACATTATAGGCAAACTTGACCAATATTCTTTATCGTGCACGGAGAAAAACCCATCAGTGATTTATATAATTTTTCGATATTAACTTTGAATCTAAACCCTAGATAAACCCTAGCACATGTACTAGTGTATTAAAGTTATTCATTAAGTTTAGTTTACACGTTTTTTTAAGTGCAAAAAAAAAACAGAAGCAGAAGCTTAAGACCCTCGGCTAAAACCAATCAGCATGATTAGCAAAAAAAAAGTCCATCAATTGAATGCCAATTGAGCAGATTAAAGAAAAACAAAAAGGAAAATGACCAAAGAGGAAAAACAACAGAGGGTGAGTATGGCAATAGAAAAAGTATAGGGTGAGAGGGAATCGCAGCTTGGAAAACTTTATATACGCCGTAAGCAAATACAAATAAAAGAAAATCGAAATATATATTGAAATTGTAAGCGACCGGTATTCCTATGAATAACCGAATTACGCATCAAGAAGTTCAAAAGTCTTTTTTCACAAAAACATATATATGTACATATATTGCTAGTTAATTACAAAAGTCATTAAGGTTTACTCGTTGCTCCACTGACTTGTTAGCTACTAATGACTTTCACATTTATTCAAACACTTTCAATATGCACTGCCACTTTGAATTATAAAAAGAGACGTTGAAAAAGGTTTCACTATAGCGCTACTTGATGCGCTTGTAACTGCAGCGGAAGAACAACTAACTATGTGAAAGGAAATGAAAACAAAACGAGAAGGGTGTGCAACTTTTTAAGAGGGTTGAAAATGCATTCTCTGATAACTTGTCAAAGGGCGCCAAATGTTAAAAAATTTGAATTTCGCTAACAGAACACTGTAAGTTAAAGTGTGCTGTTAGGCACGGTTGATTTGAAACAGCTGTCTTTTGACGCTGCGCAGCACTGTCATCCCACGCTGTTTTTGTTTTTATGGGCAAATTCGTAAAAAAATTGAAACATGAAAATATCACGTTTTAAGAAGTCCCACAAAACTCTGGTGTTTTTTGCCAGCAACTTCGACTATCGGGAACCGTACCAGGTTCTTATTGATGCCACTTTTTGTCAGGCTGCGTTGCAGGTGTGATTTACCGCATTAAAACTTGTTGATTTCTTAATGTATATTTTATTTTACAGCAAAAAATTGGCATAGATGAGCAGATAAAGAAGTACTTTCAGTGTGGAGTTAAGCTACTGACCACCCAGTGTGTTATCTTGGAGGCGGAGTCCCTCGGAGCTCCTCTCACTGGGGCCACTTCCATCGTCAAGCGATTCCATGTCCACAAATGCGGACACGAGGGAAAACCAGTGCCTGCTTCAGAATGCATTAAGACAATGGTAAATAATGCACTTAATGCCCAACTGTGGGGTACAATTAACTTAATAAATTACTCCCTTTTCCTTTAGACCAAGGACAATCGCTATGTAGTGGCTTCACAAGATCGTCAGTTGCAGGAGAGTCTTCGCAAGATTCCCGGACGTTGCCTTCTGTATCTGCACAAGGCCACTCCAGTTTTGGAAGCCCCATCTAAAGCCTCCAAAAAATGGGTGCAACGAAGAGCCAAGAACCTTATGCTGGGCAAGCAGGTCGAGAAAATCGATTACATGAAGGAAAAACAAGGTCTTAAGCCCGCTGATACTGCACCAAAACTCAAGAAGCACAAAGGACCGAAGAACCCCAATCCTTTATCCTGCAAAAAGAGCAAAAAGGAGAAAGCCGAACCAACACTTAAAGGAGTTCAGAACACCACAATAACGAAGGCGAAACGAAAACGAGTCAAGATTCCAGCTCATGTCAAGGCAGCGTTAGGAACAGATTAGATTAAAATTGGTTTAACAAGCAGATAAATATAAGATAAAAAAGTAAACTGCAGACTAGCACAAAAATTTTGAAATGTAAATGGTCATGAGGACAAGATTAGACTAATTGTCGATTCTATAATTGCAGAAAAATGGCTGTACTTAAACCAGTTTTATTATTGATTACCTACTAGTTAATTGAACTCAATTTAGTACTGAACTACAGATAGTTAGCTTACGATCTTAGAAGTAGAAAGAACAAAAATCTTGATTAGCTTACCATAATATCTCCCTCACTCTCCAATTGCATCAAAGAAACTGTTTGACTCCCACTGTGCCTGTCCAGATTATCGCAATTAAAGCGCACACCCATCTTAATCTCATGTTAATATATTCTTTATGTAGTTAAACATTGTACAGTAGTATAAAAGGTGACTGAGAACCATTTGGAGGAGGGAGAGGGCGAGGCGTCCGACGGATCCACTTACAGTTTACCCTCGCGAATCTTGTTCAGCGTCTTCTCTGTCATAAACTGAGCCAGGATCTTGGTCAGCGTTGGATTTCTGGCGCAGTAGGCCAATAGGTTCACCGGGAACAATCCACACCAGGTGAGATCCATCTTATTGGCCAAGGCCACAGCGAAAAGTTCGCCACATCTCTGAGCAGTCATGCGCTTCTGATTAGCGGTACTCTGGCCCACTTTTCCGCCCTGAGAACCCGTGAAGGCCTCCTGCAGGAAATCTGTGGCAATGGGCCCCGGTGCAAAGAGGGTTACATCCAGCTTACGCATCTCCACCTTCAGCGAAAGCAGGTAGGCATTCAGTGCGTGTTTGGCCGCACAATAAGTCGGTGAAAATGGAACTGGACTAAAGCCGGCGATGCTGGATGTGGCAGCCAAATGCCCTCTTCCGCCATTTTGTTCCACGAAGTACCGCACCACAAGCCGGCTAAGATGCACCACGGAGAAAACATCCAGTTCGAACAGTTCCCGATCCACCTCGATCTCGATTTCGGTCCAACTGGCTCGTTGGGATCTTCCGGCATTATTCACCAAAACATCCAGTCGATGAAAGTGGTTGAGCACCGTGTTAAGGTGTGTTTTGTGCTGATCCAGATCCAGCATGTCCATGGGAATAATAAGCACATCTTTGGTGGCCAGGAGGCCCCTAGCTGCAGCTAGACATTCCTCCTGCACCTCCTCTAATTTCTCCACTCTGCGGGCACTGAGCACCAACTTAACTCCATGTTTGGCCAAGCTGAGGGCTAATGTTCGGCCAATTCCGCTCGAGGCACCTGTTATCCAAACCACCTGTCCACGCATCGACGACAGGGAGACTCCAAAGCGAGATTTGTACCACAGGGCCACATTGCAGTCAAGCAGGATCCAGAGGAGCACATAGCCCACATAGTAGAGCACCAGCAGGAGCAGCAGAAATTCCAGAAAGGTCATTTCGACGGACTTTCGTGGCGCTGGTGGGTCGGAGAAACCTTTGTCCTCTGCCGCAACGGAGAACACTGAAAGCTGATTTTCACCCACAAAGAAATCGGTACTAAGTGGGTCCAAACGATCAGCTGCTCGCGGGCATCAGAGTTGGCGCAGTGAATCTGATAAGAAAAAGTTTCTAGCCTAAAAAATAAACTTAATTTTGCCATAAGCTTATAAGTTGTAATAAGCTTTAATAAAATGTAATTTCTAGGTATAAATATTAGCTCTTGAATTTAATATTATTTATTTAAATGTTTGTTTTTTAAGTATATATGTACATACACATTTCATGCATATGTGATTACCACCTGTCGTCAGCTCATCTCTGACGAAGACTGTTGAGAATCGTTTATGTAAACCAAATAAGTTTCCAACACTCCCCCTTTGCGGCATTAGTCTCATCAAAATTAAATCCAACACTTTGGCTATGTTTCTTTTAATATAAAATGTAAGTACACTAAGAACTAATCCTAAGCCTGCAGGAAGTCACCGAGGTTGTCGCATATTTTGTCGATTTCCGCACAGCCCGTTTGCTCCAGAGCCACAATGGCATTGGCCAGGGCAATGGTTTCCTTCAGGGAGTGGGCCTTCAGCCAGATCCTTCCATTGACTCCCACCGCGATCTCGTAGGGCAGTTCGCGGGTCAGAGCCGCGAGGACGGGGCAATTCTCCCGCAGAAGCATCCTGCCCAGATTCAAGCTGCACTTAAAAAAGAATCCCTCGGCGAGGACGCCCAGCTTGCCACGTTTGCCCACGGAGTTGACGCACACCAATTCCGGTTCTATATCTGCACTGGCATTCAGAACTCTTGCGTAGATTAAATCGCCGGGATTCAAGTCCGGACGGTTCTTCTTGGTAGCCGCTTCAAAGGCCAGGTAGGAAATGGAGGCCGTATCTGCTGCTCCGATATCCACGCGATACAGATCACCAGCCTTGGAACGAACTATGCCCAGGACCAGATCTCCTCGTGCTGGAATATATCTCCTCTGGTAGTTGTCCACCCAAAAAGTACTCGGTTCCTTGTGACGCAGAGGACCCGCTTTGCTGGCCACCACCGTTTCGTCCTGTCGGCGCAGTCCCGGTCCCAGGATCACCCGCTTGCTCTTGGCCAACTCCTCAATGGCCGTTATTCTTTCGCCGGGCATAACTATTGTGCTGGTTGTCGTCATTTTTATAGATATTTCTCCAAAACTTAGGAACTCCAAACAAAAAATCCGCGTGTGTCGTTCAAAACATATGGGCGGCAGAGGACAGACGTTAGCCAACACTGCAAGTAATTTTGGCAGCCCTGACTTAACAGGTTCTGGCAACAGCTGGTCTGTTAATGTTAACAACTTAAACAATGTAACGTTTGAAATTTAATCAACTTAAAAAAATTATGATAGTTTAATTTTTGTAAAAATAAGCCGAAGAATATTTTTTTTTTAAATAAAAAATCAAAAAGAATTTGTTAAGTATATGTTTTTATGATCTGCCAAAAGCTTTTAATTATAGCGCCAAATATATATTAAAAATCAAGCTGCATTTACGTTCTTTTTTTAAAATTTTAAAAGCGGCTATTGATACAAACACTTATAGAAATATCAGCTGTGCTGTTGTAAACATAATCATACGATTTTTTAGCATTAGCATTTATTTTTCCAAGTTATGGCATCTGAAACATAAATAACAGCACCGGTATGTGACTTTGAACGACCGGAGAGACCGAAATTTACTGAAAAATGAAATCCTACATAGAATTTTTCAATTACCCTTCAGCTGATTTTTATTAATTTATGCTTAATCGACGATTAACTTTGACATTATTTTGTACTCTCTTTTAAAAAGACATGCGATCCACAGATGTGTGTGGGAGCCGAAGCTTCTAACCTTGTGCGAAGGTCAATTTTCCCCAAAAAAATATAGGAAATGTTCTAATAAAAACAACAACTAAAGGAAAACGCACCCCCACATTCAGAACCGGCAAGCACCTGGAATCACATACATATAAAATCCGCTCTCCAATTTTTTCTAACGTTCTCCATAGAGGTGAGTTTTTTATATCGAAAACATCGATTCAGTTTTTGCCTTTAAATTTTATTTTACAGTACAGATACAACATAAATTGAGGCTATAAATTTTACCTTTATCAACCAAGGAGTTTTATAACTATCCTTAGTTTTGTATACTATTTTTTATTACAATTTTTTTCAGGTTTGTTAATTTTTTTTCCCTTTTTGTTTAAATAAAATAATCGGTCGTATTCCCAGCTCTAAATTCTCTCAGCCGCTCCCCAAGTTCCACACAATGGCGCAAGTTCTGACACTGCGTTGGGCTCTCCCCAAATTTTTTTCGTCGCGAACAGCAAAATCGGCGAGCGTTTTCTCAGCGGTTTCAGTCGCCCTCAGAACGAAATCAGCAGCCAGCCAGCTCTCATCTGGATTTAAATTTCTGCAGTTCAGCAAAAGTACTTGGTATGTATAATTAAGAGTTTGGAGTGTGCGTGGGTTTAGAGTAAAAAATATTTAATAATTTTATCTGCCGAGTGCATATAGAATAACGCTCATTGAAAGCCTTACAAATTAATCACTGCTCTTGCGAGCGATTTGTGCGCGATTATCTAACAAATTGTGGTGTGCAAATTTTCAAGTGGGTACATTTTTGTTCGTACTTTTCAAATCGATTTAATTGCACAAATCAAATAATGCCAATTGACAGCAAATTGTCATATCGCAACAAATAGATACTTTCCTTTTTTTGCAACATTTCCACGTATTCCGGCTTTACTGAGTGTCTCACTTTGGGTATGACCTTTAAAAGCAGCTTAGAGGTCATTCGGTTGTTCGCCGAGAGAAAACTGAAAACTCTCCCACAGCGATTTTATTTTCGCTTCTAAAAATGCCGCGAGTGTCAATGACTTTAAATAATTTTAGAAATATTTAATTGAATTCTGAAGACAAATTAAGCTTATAAAAGAAACAGAAACTTTCGAGAAAATTCCATGAGGAAAGTCATTCAGGAAAGTCAAGAATAAATAACCTTACACCATTCGCAGTAGATATTGCGTGCGAAAATGATGAAAGTTTCCAACAACACCTGCCTTAACAATGTTATGCCAATAAAGATTACTGTTTCTTCATAAAAACATATTTAAAATAATAATTTTTATTGATTTTTCAACATTTTTAAAAAGGGTTTTCCAAATTTTAGCGACAATTTCAAAATTTAAAATAGGGAATACCTTTCAAAAAGGAAACAAACGAAGATAGCTTTTGTTTATTGGCTATATTATTCTTGTTAAAAAAGAGCTTAAGTGACGTTTAGAAGAGTTTAAAAACCGAAACAATGTCAGGACTTTCGGGAATATTCTGGTCTGCGCCTAGGGTTGATCTTGAAACGTCTTATCTGCGGTTAGCTGAGGTTTCGCACATGACACCAAGCCTAGATTAAAACCATTGATGTTCAACGCTAATTTGCCTTCTTGTTGGACTTTGATTTTGCAGTGCCAGCGACGAGATGACCATCAAAGCTATCAAGGCCCGTCAGATCTACGACTCCCGTGGCAACCCCACCGTGGAGGTCGACCTCACCACCGAGCTGGGACTCTTCCGTGCCGCCGTGCCCTCTGGTGCCTCCACCGGAGTCCACGAGGCTCTGGAGCTGCGCGACAACGACAAGGCCAACTACCATGGCAAGTCGGTGCTGAAGGCTGTGGGCCATGTCAACGACACCCTGGGACCCGAGCTGATCAAGGCCAACCTGGACGTCGTCGACCAGGCTGCCATCGATAACTTCATGATCAAGCTGGACGGCACCGAGAACAAGAGCAAGTTCGGAGCCAACGCCATCCTGGGCGTTTCCCTGGCCGTCGCCAAGGCCGGAGCTGCCAAGAAGAACGTGCCGCTGTACAAACACATCGCCGATCTGGCCGGCAACAAGGACATCATCCTGCCCGTGCCTGCCTTCAACGTGATCAACGGCGGCAGCCATGCCGGCAACAAGCTGGCCATGCAGGAGTTCATGATCCTGCCCACTGGCGCCACCTCCTTCACCGAGGCCATGAAGATGGGTTCCGAGGTGTACCACCACCTGAAGAACGTGATCAAGGCCAAGTTCGGCCTCGATGCCACCGCCGTGGGCGATGAGGGCGGCTTCGCTCCCAACATCCAGTCCAACAAGGAGGCCCTGAACCTGATCAGCGACGCCATCGCCAAGGCCGGATACACCGGCAAGATCGAGATCGGCATGGACGTTGCCGCCTCCGAGTTCTACAAGGATGGCCAGTACGATCTGGACTTCAAGAACGAGAAGAGCGACAAGTCGCAGTGGCTGCCGGCCGACAAGCTGGCCAACCTGTACCAGGAGTTTATCAAGGACTTCCCCATCGTCTCGATCGAGGATCCCTTCGACCAGGACCACTGGGAGGCGTGGACCAACCTGACCGGCTCCACCCAGATCCAGATCGTGGGCGATGATCTGACCGTGACCAACCCCAAGCGCATTGCCACCGCCGTGGAGAAGAAGGCCTGCAACTGCCTACTGCTGAAGGTCAACCAGATCGGTACCGTCACCGAGTCGATCGCCGCCCATCTGCTGGCCAAGCAGAACGGCTGGGGCACCATGGTGTCTCACCGCTCCGGCGAGACCGAGGACTCGTTCATCGGCGACCTGGTCGTCGGCCTGTCCACCGGACAGATCAAGACCGGTGCTCCCTGCCGCTCGGAGCGTCTGGCCAAGTACAACCAGATCCTGCGCATCGAGGAGGAGATCGGCGCTGGCGTCAAGTTCGCCGGCAAGTCCTTCAGGAAGCCCCAGTAAGCGGGTGGGCCACTTCGAAATTCCAACCACACCAGCCCCTCGGATGAGATCTGGATCTTGGCGACGGAAGCTGCGCGTTGAAGATCCAAAAGAAGGCGGCGGCGGTGCACGTGTTCGTCAACCTTTACTTTCGGAATTTGTGTCTGGCGCACAAATGAATCAGAATTAAATTACCAAAACCGTTTGCTGTCTCTATGCTTCGTTATTAGACATTATTATTAATGTTATACCTTGATCTAATCATTATTTATAAAAAACAAAAACAAAACACTTCAAAATACACTATGTACAAGATGTTCGGTTAGTTTTCAGAAGCTTGGAATATCTTTACTGTAGTCGCTGTAATTCTTTTGAAATTATATATTGAGCTACACACAACCACCAAAACACAGATTCAATTCATAAACGGTTACTAAATTGTTGTTGAGACATAGAATTTAAGCAGAAAAACCTTAAAGTCATTTGCATCGAATACACGGTGTGAAATAGTCAGGATCCCACAGGAAGAACAATACACCAAAAATCAAACATATAAAGAATCGTACAAATATCCAATTTGTTAGTTGATGTGAAATAAAAATAAAATAAATCAATTTTGAATTTTACTTTGGCGTTACCAGATGAACAAAAAAAAATGATTACACATCTCGAAAACTTAAATGTAGAATGCTTCTAGGAACTGTAGGAGTGCGAAAAAGGGGAACTTTTCTTAAATTTCGTTAAGCTTAAGGATTTATTTTTTTGTAATCTTAAATATCTACATTAATTTATTTTTATTTAAAAGATCTTTTAATAAGTTTTCAATTTATATAAGTAACGGGGCTCGCATGTTATCGATGTATATCGCACAGATGCAATAACCGTTTAAAATAATTTGAAAAATATAAATAATATCTAATGGATCAAGTTGTAGACTGTTATACTTTGGCAAATCAAAAATAATTATTAAAATTCGTTTAAAAATTACCTAAGCGTCTGTTTTTGGATGTGACATGTGAGAATCCTCCATTGGAAAAGTAAGAGAGCGAGAAAAGAGAGAGCTCCAGTGTCCCCAAATCTGGGTGAAAGAAAAATACCACAAAAACGCAAAATACCAACGCAAAAAAACCTCTGACGAAAAAGAAATAAAAACAAAGTCAGAGAAATTCCAATTTTCAATCGGAGCGGTTGAACTTAGAGCAAATCGTCCAGATTAATAGTAAAAAATCGGAGATTGACTATACCGAACTTGTCGCAGTGCCCATAAGAACCATTATTTAAAATTTACGTCAATCAGTGAATTTAACTGCAGTTGCATAACTCATTGCCAAAAATCTAGGGGAAAAATTACCGAACCAAAGCAAAGTTCTTGTCGGAAGAAAGTTCAAAGGACAAAAGAAAGCGGAAAAGGAGAGGAGAGTGTCGTTAGTGGGTTAAAAGCCCCTCCTCCTGGGGCCCGCCATCCCCCGCCCCTCGTCGCCCGTCCACCGCCCACAACGTGCCTTAAATAAATACACAAGTCGTGTCTGTTTTTTGAGGAAAAAATCAAGTGCGCGTTAGTTGCAGCAAAGTTATTTGATAAAACTTATTAAATAAGAATACGATTGTGTGGAATTACGAAAAATTGAATATGGCCCAAAACACAGCAGACACTTTCATCCATTTGATTGCCGGCGGGTAAGTGAAGCCTATTAATTCTGGATTTTTTCCCTATTGCGTCTTATCGCAGGTCAGGCCATTAAAGCGAAACCGGTTTGCCCGTTTGATTTAATAGCAATTCCGAGGCAAAAACGTCGCAATTGCGATTAGATTTAGTTCACCAATGTGTATTGAACATTTTTGGCGCCATTGCCAAAACCAAAAAAAAAAATAGAGAAAGAAAGGCCGAAAAGAGCAGTAAAAAAATCAGGCTGATCTTCAGGAAACACGCTCTGTTCACGTGTTTTCTTTTTTATTGTACGGGAGCGACAGCTGGTGAAATCACAACCGAGATAAACGGAACAAGTAAAATATATAAATGCATTGCAACAAACAAACAAAAATAAACAAAGCAAATCAGGGGGTCTGTCCCTTTCTTTATTTCTTTCTCCACACATTCTCGGTTCATTTTCCCAGGCAGTGTCCAATTGGATTTTCAATATGCCTGACAAGCTTCAATTATTTTGTTGTTGTTTCTTTTATTACTTTTATGGTGGCTATTTTTAGACGCGTCGCATCTGAATTTATTTTTGTTTTTACCTGCACCCTACACACTCATCTTGCCGGCATATTAGTTATTCGTGAAACCTGTTTTGTTTTTGTCAGAGGAGGAATACAAATTTAAACGGAAGTCGAGCCTCTGGTCGTTCAGGAAATGTAAACTAAAGTACGATTACCATAAATTTGGGGGCCTGATTATGGTTGGTGGCGTGGCTATTCTGTTTGCTAAAAACCTCTTTGGTTCCAAGTTCTAGAACTTTGTTATTCAATTTCACCACTGTTGACAAATAGTATTTGTTATTATTATTATTATTAATTAAAAGCTTAATGAATATTTATAAATTGACAGTTCCTAATAAAGCTGTTATAAGCTTGCAGTGCCAATTGTGATAAACTTTCCGCACATGCACCTTGATAGAGGCCTTTTATATGACCTCCAAAGCATTTGGCCTCTCAATATTTGCACAGAATGCCAGTTTGAATCCCCCAAAACTTTTTGCAATCAAGACACTGGGCAATTTGCCGGCCGGCAGCTAAAGCCCACTTATCAACGGCAAAAAAATCGACAACAATGCAGTTTCAATGTGCACAAATTGTCGTAAGACGTCGTCCATCCATGTATAACCGTATCTATGTGAGTGGTTTACATACATACATACATATATGCGTAATATATACCTTAACTGGGGGGACATGGAAGGAAGGAACTGCACGTTGCAACTTGAGCTGGCTTAATACCCCAGTTGTTGTAGCTGCCTTCTTACATAGTTGTCGTTAGTTCTGGGGTATCTCGTGTTGGTACACGTTGGAAAAAAATAAAAACAACCTTGCCTGCCGCACATTGTTATCGCTATAAATAAGCCACAAAGCAAACAATTAACCGACATCCATCTAATCAAGTATCTGAAGCCTCCAAAGGCGGGTCTTACATAAGCAAAACAAAAAAAAAACAAAATACCAGGATTGTAATACACAAAAGAAAATAAGTTTAGAACAATAAGTTTATTTTTAGAGTTCGGGACAATATTTTTGTATGAGTTTTACGGTTTTAAATAATAATTTAAATTGTTGCTGACAAAGGGCAATTAGTACCAATTGCGAAACTGCTAAAGTGCTTTAGACAGCTGTGATCTATTCCCTATAAGTTCTCGATTTGGCACACCATATTGCACATTTCTCTGCTCACCTATATACTATATTGCATTGTTTTCTTGCCTACATATTTTGCTGTTATTTGTCGAGAAACAAATCTAAATTGAGCTTGGCAAGCGATTTCGAATTTGTTTTGGTTTTTCAACGAGACGACAGACCAGGCAAATAAACTTTTTCTGGCACACTGACTCAGTTGAAGGCGAGTGAATTGCAACAAACAACAGTGACCAAGGTGTTCAAAGGGGGTGTTGTGGGGTATTACGCGGACGACGGCTAAACAAACAATGTCAGCCAAGCTGCAAGTGCCCATTTCTTGTGCTGTTGCGCTTTCTTTTAAACTTGTATAGCCCTAATATGACGTATATTAGCTGGGATTTTTTATTATTTACCCAATCATACGCTTCCGAAGATCATAAATTAACTTATTTCATTGAAGTAAATGCATTCACCTTTACCATTTTCTTGTGGTTAATACTTTTTTAAGTCTCATACCTTTAAATAACATAATTTTCTGCACTTTCTACCGTTTTTCAAACGTGTCTCGCTGCACGTACGCTTATGTTTTTTGATTATTGGTTATGCATACATATATGAATTTTATTAATAGCATCAATAAGGTCAAAACAAGGCGGAAAGTGTTTTCCGTTTAAAGAAAAACTCAATTTGTGCGTCAACATTTAAAGTTAAAGAAAATATATATTAAAAATATATTTTTTTATTTATATTAAGTTATATTTATTTTCACAATTCAAAATAATCTTGCCAAAGCAATAATTGTGTCAAGGGCGCCTTGATTTTATTATACTCTTGATCTAGACACAAATTCTAAATATTGTGGATACCTACATATAAACCAATATATACAAAAACTGTGAGAAACAAGAATGAAAATATAGAAGGTCGCGTGCCAAGTTTTATTAGAAAATAATACGATTTTTAAAATCTTTTTACTAATCTAAGGAATGCTCTATCGTTATAATTGATTATCTTAATTGTTTAAACTTCCTCAGAGCCAATCTTATAGCTAAAAATAGTTCTCCTTTTCAACCTTCGGTTCCTTTGACCCATAAACAATAACGTTGAAAACTTTCCACGGATTTCGTAATCTAAAAAAGAAGCCAAAAGAAGCAGGAGCTGAAAAACGTGAAAATAAAAACGGCATTGATAAGATGGGAACTAAGGTCTGCGAAACGCAAAAGGCATTGAAATATGCGTAATATTGTTTGATAAGAAAGTCTCCCCGCCAAGACATCTTTATCAGCTGTAAAAGGTGAGGTGTGTGGGGGGATTCTTCCTCAAGCACCTGGACAAAAGTCACCCCAGCAGAGGCTGACGCATTTCCAATTGAAATTATCACACCAAATACATGCGGTCCACTTGCTTTCTTTTTATACCTTTTAAACACCGTCTGCGGGGTCTAAAATTTCCGCTCTTATCAGGCAACGCGTGTGTTTTTTCGGGAACAAAAGTACCCCAAACAATGTCAAAGAACAGATAAATCGCGCGTTAACCAGTTGCAAATAGCACGATTCTGGCACATGCGTCGCCAAAGGCCATCGATCGGGAATAGCAATGTATATAGCTATAAAAATCGGTACTCGGATGCACACGCAAATGTACTAATTGGGAATTTCACATGTCTCACACATGAGCAACACAGATTGCTTACTTTTTAAAGAAATTTATTTTGGGTGCTGGAATAATATTTTAACAAAATATTTCTTTAAAATTCAAGATACAATATATAATTTTAGGTTAAATCCTTAAAAAGCTAAATGGATTTTTGTTGATAGTAAAATGTATACCTTTATTACTCCCCTTGTTGTTACACTTGAGCTTTCAATTAATTTCTAACTCGCATTTATCACCCTTTAATTTTCTATTCATCAGTTCTAAGCTGACTGGACAACTCATTAATCACCTCGTTCCGAAGTCAGTAAACTGTTCCACTGAAGTCCGACTTATCCTTGGATTGTTTGTACAACCGTCTGTCTGAACTACTTTCTGTTGGTCTGGCGCACAGTTTGCTTGATTTTCGCGTGATGTGCCAGGCAGATGCTAATTGAAACTCAATAGTCGAGCTTCCCGTTAATGCATTGATTAAATGTGATTAATTTTAATTGCGCAGAGAAAGGGGTAAAAGTGTCTAGATTATATTACCAAAACACAGCATATGGTGGCGTGTTTTGGTGGCTTTGGGGCTCTTAACCAGCGATTGCGGAGCAATTATGTCACAATGGCATACCAGACTCGATGCGGATCGAGCAACCATAAAAGTACTATATGCCCTAATGGACGTGGCCCACTGATAGGCAAACCTAATGACTGATAAGCGGAGGCTGCTTCTGTCCGGTCATTGCAATTCATCCGCTGGCAGGCATCAAAGGTTATCGCAAATATAGCCGGGTCAATCCTGAACCAGCTTGGACCGGTTCTCTATAGCCTATCCCCACTGCAATCGCCGCCAGATTTGCGAAATCGACCGAGAGAAAAGTATTCCCCCCATTCGCTTGCCAGCTAGTTGATTAAATTTTGTTTTTTGTCTGGGATTAAGGGAGACATTCGTGTCTGTCCCCAAAGTATCTCACATCGATCAAACTTCTCGCCGGCTTTTCTCTGCCATATAATTTCCGCTTCTCTGTTCTCTTTGTTGCATAACCTTTTCCCCTTCGTGAGTTTATTGTCACCCGATTATAATAATTCCACTTTACGACTCTCGGTTGCCAACTGCCAATTTACAGGTTTCCGATCACGAGTTATGCTTCTGCACACATATTCCTAGATAACGAGGTTCCCATGTGTTGTTCATGTTGATAGAGGTAATCAGTGTTGGTTTTTGGGAAAGGTCGTGTATAATTAATTTTCGGAGCACTCTTGGTGCAGGTGTAAACAAATTGTTAATCTGAAACAAACTTAATGTCAAGGTTAAAAACTTCAAAGCGAAAGACGGCAGTTTAAAGGTATTCCAAAAAGGGTTGTGTAACTTATGAAATAAATTTAAGAACCTGACATAATTTATATAAATTCTTTTCGGGTTCCTCTTGACTGGCAGCGCCAAATGACTAAGCCATCTGCTTTAAGCTATTTCACATTTCAGTAAACAATCTTCTGACCTTGCTTTACATGCACTTGGAATGTGTAATGAAGTGAAATAGAAAATGCTCTATAATTTGCTTTGGATACTTGATGGACATCACACCCATTCCTCCTTCTTCCCTGATTTCCCCAACCACAACCCTTTCATTGCATTAAGTAAAATGCCATTCATTTCCAATGCAGCCAATCAAAAATGCCCGCCACTTAAAATCCAAATTGAAATGGAATGGGACATACTGCTCAAGTAGTTGGCTATACTATATGCACAGAATGGAAATACATTTTTAGCCGGCGGATTGCGCAAATCGAAGAAATACGAGTTTGGGAAATAGATATTTTTTCTGCGTGCTTGGTGATTTATTTTTGAGCTATTTCATAGTTGAATGTTTGCCATTGGTAGAGGGAAAAATAATGGCGTGACGTTTAATGCCTTAAAGCACTTTTATGTTCATAGAAATTTGTCTTGAACTTGAAAAACATAAGTTCTCAAAAATAATACATACTTTCTTCGCTATTCCTGTACCAATTAAAATAATAAAAGATTATTCCTGTAATATAAGTAGTACTACGATTTTTAAGTAGGGATTACGTGATGATTACATATTCTTATGTTATTCTTACGTTTTTGTTTCTGTAGATCGGCTGGCACAGTGGGTGCCGTGGTCACATGTCCCCTGGAAGTGGTGAAGACGCGTCTGCAGAGCTCTACGGCCTTTATGACGCCATCGCGTCTGGCGGAGAATGCCGGAGGACCGGCGAATGGTGGCCAGTCGGAGCTTTTGCGGCCGGAACAACGACGTAAGCTAAGCACAACGATATTACGTAACAGATCACAGCCACAGGTGATTGGGGGTGTGCGTAGGGTAGTACCAAATTCTTTTTACCTATTCTCTCATACCCATTTACACTGCCATCTGCATCCTAACTATTATAGCTTGAGTTCAAGCCCTAAACCCCCGCGCAAAAGAGCCGCCTTTAACATCTTCGATACCTTCATATCCATTGCCCCACAACTGGTTGAATGGTTTCACTAATCAAAGCTGTTTTTTCGCCCTTGCAGATCATGGCCATTTCGCATTGCGGCATCTCATCCACAACCCCCAAATCCATGAGCATCGTGCAGTGCCTGCGGTAAGTATTGATTTTCTTCTAAACGTAACCGTGGAAAATATATCTAATGGACTTTCTGCTTTCTGCTTTTGTAGACACATTGTCCAGAACGAGGGTCCCCGCGCTCTGTTCAAAGGCCTGGGTCCGAATCTCGTGGGCGTGGCCCCCTCCCGTGCCATTTACTTCTGCACCTACTCACAAACCAAGAACACGCTCAACAGTTTGGGGTAAGTGTCTTGTAACACGAAAGTGTCCTAAAGCACTTTTCCGACCGAATTGCAAATGAAAATCAAATTTCCATACCCCAGAAACCTCTTCAACTTTGAGTAAGGGTTTTTAAAACCACCGAAAAGAAAAGGATTCGAAAAGAGTTAATCAGTAAGGCACCGAACATTCTCTAAATTATTTATTTATCGACACATATTTATGGTACAGCCTTAAGAAGTCATTTACTAAGTACCCAACTAATCATTGACTTTTTCCTTAGCTTTGTTGAACGTGACTCTCCATTGGTGCACATTATGAGTGCAGCAAGTGCTGGCTTTGTCTCCTCCACGGCCACGAATCCCATCTGGTTTGTGAAGACCCGAATGCAGCTGGACTACAACTCCAAGGTTCAAATGACCGTGAGGCAGTGCATCGAGCGGGTCTACGCCCAAGGCGGAGTTGCCGCCTTCTACAAGGGCATCACGGCCAGCTATTTCGGAATCTGCGAGACAATGATTCACTTTGTCATCTACGAGTTCATCAAGTCCAAGTTGGTAAGTTTAAGTAATATAATTTTAGTTTGTTCTTCTTCTAAATTTACACTAATTTAATAATAGCTGGAGCAGCGGAATCAGAGGCATACTGACACAAAGGGCTCTCGAGACTTCCTGGAGTTCATGATGGCCGGGGCTGTTTCCAAAACAATTGCCTCCTGCATCGCTTATCCCCACGAAGTGGCTCGAACTCGTCTGCGGGAGGAGGGCAACAAGTACAACTCCTTCTGGCAGACCCTACACACTGTTTGGAAGGAGGAGGGCAGAGCAGGACTCTATAGGTGGGTGCAATAGATTTATTATATTTCTTTAATCATCAAAACAACCCAATTTAGACAAGGGGTGATAATAATTGTATTTCGCATTCCTTCTATAAAAATAATCATCTTCGTTGACCTATTAGATTAAAGTAAAAGTAAATCCCAGTTGAATCAAAGGGAATCCCACATATCGTCTACTCTGCACGTATTCCAAAATATATTTATATTTTATATATATATATATACATATTTTTTTTTTTAAATATAAACTTTAACAAACAAACACTTAACACGGATGTCGTATTTTCGCTTGCTCATAGCTAATGAATTATAATGCGCCACCCACGAATTCGTGGACGCCTCCTCATCGTAAAGTCTATTTAAATTCTTTTGCGTCGCATATTTTCGTTTGTTTACCTAAATTTGATTATCACTAGCGAGCGAGTTCGCTCGGGTTGTTTCCTATGATTACTGCTATTTGTCGAGTAATCCGTCCACTAATTATACCACCTGTTTTTACCATCCAACCCACAGAGGCTTGGCCACGCAGCTGGTGCGCCAGATTCCCAACACGGCGATCATGATGGCCACCTACGAGGCAGTCGTCTACGTTCTCACCCGGCGGTTCAACAACAAATCGAACGAGTTCTATGACTTTTAGAAAGTATCTTCTCGGAGAATCCCCATTATGGACTAGTTAACAAACGAGAAGGAGGAGGAACCCAATCTGTGCATATGTAGACGCGACTGCTGCAACTTAATTGTAATTGTAACCCTTTTTTAGACGATCCAAACCAACGAGCGCAAATTCTTAGTTAACTAGCTTCTAAGTCACTGAAAACGAACTCGATAGACTTAAGACGTTAGACGTTGAACGTTGGCCAATACTGCAAACACGCACCAGGATCGAACTGCACCACCCAAGAAAACAAAAAAACCGAAGAAAACCCAAAAATCCACATTGCTATTTGCTTTAGAAGGAGCTAAAACTGTGCGGAGGCCAAACGACGATGGATTCGCTGGAAAACGTTATCAAAATTTGAAAAGGCTGCTATTTAGTTAAAGATACAATATATATTGAGTGTATAAATGTGGTTGATATTTTGATATAGTCTGTAAATAGAATTCGATTCGCTCAGAGTGTATTGTAAATAGATGATGAGAGTCGACTGGCGTTGCAATATGGCTCCCCTAGTTTTGTTAGTTTTAAGCACAAAAATGTTGAATCGGCGCGCAGTTGCCAGTAGATGCCGCTATATAAATATATAGAGAACCGACCGATCCGATACGTAACTATAACCGTAATTTGCATACGTTTCCGTTAAGTTTCCTCAAATGCGATATACATTTTAGTTACCATTACTCTACCATTATGATTATGAATATTATTATTATTATTGCTGTTTATTTAGTCCGTTAGTAAGCTAGTTGGTAAGCTCCGCTGAGAGCCGTAGTGCCCCCAAAAATCGTATTTCATTGATAACGAGCAAAGAACGAAGAAAACTACTGTGAATAATTGATTGCAATCTGATTTGATGGTGAAATCAATAAATACAACAATTTTGTTTAAAAATAATCCAGTCGTTTATGGTTTAATGCCGGTCGACGGCTCGCCCGACTGAGTGGGTCTTTAATGTTCCTTAATCTAATCAACGCCGCAGTCTGCAGACCCTCGAACATAGTTCAACTTAGAATAGCAGACTGCGGCCAATAAAAACTGTGATGAGATAAGCCGATTTTGCCAAGATAGTAAGTTTCTGCCCAACTGAGATGAAGTGATTTATTAGTTTATAGCGGGTATATGCTAAAATTTTAAGCCACATTTATTAAATGACCAGCACTTCTTATGTGGGATAGTTTACTTATGTGAAAGATATTTTATACCTGTATCTTTCCACTAAGCCCGCTGAAGTTGAATTAACGCGGCTTGAGTCCAGGCTAAGGTCTTAGCAAGATTTCCTACCACCAAACCCGATCGATGATCTCAACTACAATCGTAACGTAATAAACTTCCACCCCTTAAAACGTAGCCAACTTCCATCTCTAAAAACAAGTTTGGACAAGCAACAAGTGGATTTAATTTTCATAAACAATGCTTGTTTATAGGTAAAAATCCGAGTTAGAGTGATGTTTTGTGACATATTTTGTGACCTTAGCTGGTAAACCGGTACTGAGGTGCTAAAGATCAGCGTAGTTAATCCGAATCGGAAGAAATTAGTGCAATTGGAGCACCTAAGAGGCACACGCCAACAAATCAAATCGAGATCGAGACTTAAGTTGACACCCATTCCGCGGCCATGCAAATCGATGCAATTGAGTTGAGCTGAAACCCGAGGCCTAAATATGCTGCTCAGCGAGACCCACTTCTGGACAACGCTGCGGGATGAGGTGCGGATCAAGAGCCAGGATCTGGGGGCGTTTCGCTACCTTCGCCAACGGGACAAGGATCAGGAGCAGCAGGACCTCACATTCCTGGCCAAGCGGGACTATACGGAACGCCGCAATGGATTGGCCGTGCTGAAAAACAGCAGTAGAAAGTCCGCTGGTCGACTCAAGGACAACCTCAAAAAGCTGGAGGATTTGCTTCGCCAGCACAAGATAATCCATTCCGAGTGGCAGGATGCAGCGCAGGTCCTTCTTCTATTCGCCCACGGTCTGATCGCCCACATCTGCGTGGACATCTACACCGGGGACATCCTGCGAATGGTCTTCGAGAAATACTTGGTTGGAAAACTAGCCTCCGAAGTCATCACCGATGGTGAGTCGTGGGATCTATCATACATGTGCACTCTTTTCACTCTTGAAATTCCAAGTAATTTGAGCCCTTTCATGTCTACCCTACCCATCGCCATATATCATCATTTCTGTATGTAAATCGCTGAGGAAAGCGCCTTAAATCTTAAAAAATTATTCTAAAACCGTACAAGTTTATTTAAGCATGTACCCTTTTTAGTGAAAATTCGCACAAGCACGCAACATTTAATGTGTATTCTAGGCATAATGTAATTAGAGGGCCTCCCATTTATCATTTGTGTGTGGAAAGTTTTAAATCTATGGTTACCTATGGAACAAAAAAAGCAAAGCCCTATTTTTAATGTGCCTCATCGTCCAGTAAACCTACCACTCCACCCCCATATAAACTCAAGAGTATATGCACTTCTACAAAGTGGACTCCGCATCGTGGCCTTGCACTTCAGACCGCTGCTTGTGCAGTTATGGAGAAATTTGCATTGGCAACAAGTGCGACTTGATTTGCACTTTCCCACACCAACACAGCCGCACGCACACATGCAGGGGCATGCAATTATTGTAATTTTTAATTAATCTGCTTGCTTGTTTTGTTGCCTGTAAATATGCGAACCCCGATCCCCGACCCCCCATCCGCTGCTGGCTTTCCATGTTTTGTTCGAGGCACTCATTCAGCTTTGTCGCTTGTGTCTTTACTTTTTTTTCCGCTGTGGTCTTGTCCGTGTGTGCTCGTCAGCTTTTTTCACCCGTTCCCACATCGTCTTGGCCTACAATACCAACCAGCTGACGGTGGTTCATCTGCAGCGGCCAAACGCGCGATCCCAGGGACCGGAGAAGATCGCCAACATGGATCCGCGGATCTTCCACGTGATCATACCGGGCGCCACGGAGCGCAAGCTATCCCGCCACCTCACAGTCAACAGCAGCTTCGACCTGTTCGTGGTCTGGACGCAGTCCTCGCAGAACGAGGTCTACCCATGGAGGCCAACGATCAGGGACCAGGATAGAGCAAACATTCATGTGTTCAAGATTAAAGGGTAGGTTTGGCTGATTATTGTTTGATTAAATGTCTAATATCTCTCTTAATAGTTTGCAACTGGAATCGATCGCCTACTGCTGGTCGGAGAACGATCCGCTGTGCGTTGACTTCCTGCGGAGCAGCGAGAGTCAGATCATCACCTTGGAACAGAAGGTTTCCCGCAAGGGCGACATAAGCGCCGAGATCTGCTCATATGAACTGGCTGCCGGCAAAATGCAGCGCACCGCCATTACCTCCATTCCAATGGGCGCCCAGATCTGCTCCTTTGCCTTTAGTCCCGATCAGGAGAAGCTCTTTCTGGGCAGCATCGATCGCAATATCTGTCTGCACGATCTAGTTCAGCAGTCGACGAAGTACGCCAACCAGATTGAGATCGTGCCCAACCAGTGCGCCTGGCACTGCGATTCCGCCATGCTTTGCGTGGCCAACGAGCGATCGGTACTGCAGTGCTTCGACCTGGCCCTGGCCACCATTGGTCATCAGCTGCTCAGTGAATGTGTGACCCCATCGAGCCTCTTGGACCTGTCCCACTACTTTGTGGCCCAGCCCACGTTGCTGAGCGTGGCTTTCAGTCGGAAGCCGGATCTTTCCAGTTTCAAGCACACCTACGCCCAAACGGACTGTCTGTTGCTGCTGATTTATGAACAGGGACCACTCGCCTGCATGCGCATCTTTGGCGGCACGGGAATGCGAGGGGACATCCACAATTCTGGACTTACTGCGGACGTTATTGCGGACAAATATCTGCGATTGCAGCAGCCGGATAGAGCTGTGAATGTCCTGGCCGCCCTCAACTGGGAGACTTACGGAGCCATGTGTTTAATCACGCTACACAAGATAGCTAACTACGTGTTCTTTGGCGGAGACCAGCGACGACCGCGCATCGAACTGATGGCCAGGGCACTGAAGACATTCGCAAGCACGCTTTCGGAGGAAACAAAGGATGAGTTCAGCGATCAGGTGTACGATCTGAAGCGACGCTTTTGCTTTTATCTTCTTCGGTGAGTTTAGTTTGAATTATAATGCGTTAAATATCGTACAAGCCAAATCTTCTTCCACAGTAAAAACCTCTTCGCCGAGGCCTTTGAAATCGCCCAAGATGTGGCCGACTATGACATCTTCATGGACCTGTACAACTTAACCAAGTGCATCTCCAGCCTCAGCGAATTCGCCCAGGTGGCGTTCAGTCAGGCAGCTGCCATAATTCATGAGGAAGATCGTGCCAACGGCAACCTTAGCCTGACCTGCGACCTGCGATCGGAGTCGGCTTGCTCGCTGTCCACCTGCTCGGATGTATTACGTGGCCAGGGAGCAGCAACAGGGCCACCCACGGGATTAGGTCCGGGCCAGGCTCAGAATCAGCAGGTCCTAAAGAACTATGTGCCACCGCTGCCCTCGTTCAAGTCGAAGGTGTTCAATGCCGAGATGATCAAGATCAACATACCCAAACCGGAACTGAGGCCTCCCCTTCCAAAGGTTTCGTTAGCACCTCCAACGAGCACACTGGCGAGTCTGTCCCTAAAAATTAATAGTACGCCACAGACCCCCATAAAGAGCTTAAGCTCGAATGGTAAGTAAAAATTAATCTTCTCTTTAATAAACTTTTTAACCTCATACATTTCTTAAATTTAAGGAAATGTATGGTCACAGGATGTTCCCGATCAAACAGTTGGTCTGCCAATGGCCAACAGTCCGCTTCCTCGTCTTCCGCCCCAAAACATTCCGGATCAAAGCCCTCAAATTGGCCATCATAACACAAGTCAAGTGTCGCCTCCACCGGCAGTCGCATATCAGCCCAAGTTTTACCAGCATCCGCTTGTCTCTGGGAATATACCCGCCATGTTGCCCTCAGTGACCAGCGAGGATTACCAGAAGCGGTTGCTGCTCAAAAAACCCACTGCTTCCATACTGTCCAATCCGGCCAATCCAACTCCGACGAATGGAGAGGCAGCCACGCCGACAGCCAAGTCACAAACGGCCGAGAAGAACAAAGTCAAATTCTCCGATACAATTCAAGTAGCTGTGGTGCCTGTGAGTCCTTTAAAAAAACAAGATTTAAACCTTACTTAATATTTATTTTTTCCAACAGGAGATTCCTCGCAAGGAGAAGCCAATGCCACCGAAGAGAAATGGTTACTCCAGACCAGCAGCACGGCATCTGACCAATCCTAAGAAAGAACTAGCCGACAGCCTGCCGCTTTGTCATCCAAATGACGAGTATCTGAAGGATTTCAATCCCATAACCACCAGTAAGTTATGATTTTAACTAATAATTCCCTTTTTACCCAAAAATGTTTTATTTTTAGATGTCACCAAGCCACCAATTCGACGTCGCGACGAGGAATCGAAGCAGAGCAGCAGCAAGAGCGCCAATTCGTCCTCCTCTTCGTCAATCAAAGTGGTCCACTTCGGTGTGGTCTAATAATTTATAGTGCAATTCCTTACTAATCACTATTTCGGTTTATTGCCGCGTCTTCCATTCGTTTGTAACTATTGCCGTCCCAGTTAGTGCAAAGCTTTAAATAGGAAAGTTTTTATTTATAGGTTCTCTATACACTTTACACAGGTTACTCATTAAAGCTTAGCATTAAATGTTTGCCAAATCGGATAGCTACTTCTTCTTGGTGCTAGTGGGACCCCCCATGCGCTCCAACTCGTCCTTAAGGTCGAGCAGTTCCTTATCAGGCACATAACGACGCTCCTCGCAGTCGTCGGTGTGTTCCTGGACCATCAGGCTCACTCCTTCGGGCAGGGCCGCCTGGGCGATGCGAAGGAACTGGGGATAGACCGGCGCATCCACGTTGTTTAGCTGCAGATTGCGCTCGTAAGTGGTCAGTTTGTACTCGGACTCGATGACCGTGGAGTTGGGCCTAAGCCGCTGAACTTGAGTCTGTTGCGGAGGAAGGGCGTAGCAGTCGGAGACGTCTAAGTCCAGGTACTCGGCGACTCCGTGGAGGAACCGCTGGTAGCTCTCCAACTGCGGATAGTCGTAGCCCTTGATCTGCACATTAAGGCTGTCGTATTGCGGGAACTTTGGTTTAAGCGACTGCAAGAGATAAAGGAATACAATGAATAACTAATTTTAAATACACAAAATGAAGAAGTAAAGTTACATCCAGATAATCCGGTTCATAAACACTGCCGCTGGTGTTCCTCACAGCTGCTAATGTTGTCTTCGGCACTTGCAGCGTTAATCGCAGACTCGGAACCAACTGAAATCCATAATTATATAGATTTTTATAAACAATTCCAAAGAATTAAATGTTTATTTACCCTGCGTAACATTTCGGTGTTTTCAATTGGAAATCAAAGTCAGGTTATATCATCAGCTGATGCCATGCGGCCACATTAAAGTGTACTTAAAATGCCCGCCAAATTTGCTTATCGGTCAAAACCGACAAAAAAAATTAAAGTTAAAAAAAGTTATCATAATTTATATAATCAATATGCAATTAACAAAAAATATAATTGATATTATATTTTCTCAATCTCGGAAATTCCTAGTCGAGACAGCTTATTTTGCCAGCCAATAAATGCAGCCACACGAAGGAGAGCGGTCTGGCAAATTTGTGGTGGCTAACCACGGTCACACTATTCCAGCTGGCCGAACAGAAGAGGAAATAATATTTGTATTTACTTAGTCCCTTTGTACGTAAAATCCACACAAGCAAAATGCAGGGGACGGCAACGGTATTGGTAGTTGCGCTGGCGCTCCTTTTCGGGCCCGAGAAAACAGCCGGAAAATCAGATCCCGGCATTGTGGACGTCCTGGTGACCACGGTAAGAACAAATATGTGTACACGGTTGTGACAACCGCTAACAACTATGGGGATCATCCTGTTTCCGGCTACGTAATCACTGTTTATACCCTTTCAGGACTTACCCACAGTCCGGGAACAGCGACCGCTTTTGGCCGACACAAAAATCTACGCTCAAAGTAAGTATAAGCAGAAAAAGCGTGACCAATTCTCCCGATTTACCCCTTTCCACACCCGTTTTATTGGTTTCAGTCAAAGGCTGTTCGTCCAATAAGGAGACCAATCTTACCATTACTTTTGAGCTATCGGAGCACCCCTGCATCTACGACGATCGTCTGGTAAGTAGATATGTTTCTCCTTTTATTGCATTCAATCTAATCCTTTTAATCTCCCCGGTAGTTGCAAGCTATCGCACAGGATAATGCCCTGCGTAATAATGCTAGCATTAACAAGGTCATTACCAAGATCACCAAGATGTATCCCTGCAACGGACTCATTGTCCTTTCGGTGGACAAGCCTGCTGAGGGAGCAACCCCGGGAACGCCGGAACCCAAACATCCCATGAAGGAAAACAAACATCCACTTTCGGTAAGTGCGTCATGACTCACAGAGAACATGAAGACAGCAATTACCACTGGGCAGGCCAAAACATTTGCAGCCTTATCAGTCACTGCTTATCGTTTCTCCTAATAGGGGGTACTTTATGGAGAAGTTGGGTAGACCGTTCGTTGCGGCTACTTTTAATATTTCCGGTCACTTGCTAAAATTCTATATATTTACATATGTTTACACAACCGAACCCAATCTACATTTGGCAATTTTCAAAATTATTTTACTTTATTTATCCAAAATAATTGGTATCGCGTGATCGACTTCCAGCTCTTTACGCGCTAAAAGTACTTACTTTTATGTAGGCAAGCCTAAATACTGATAAAACCCTAGCCACGCAGTAGTTAAACAACTACTTTTTCTTTTCAGCCCACGACCACTCCGATTTCGAGCGTTTCAGAGGATGGCATCTACGTGATCGAGGTGACCATCGCATCAAGCGAGCAGTTCACCGCCGTGGTTCACATCGAGTTCCTGGGACCGCATGGTTATATCTCGGCCATAGATTGGCCATTCCTGCCGGTAAGTGATGAGTACAGGTCATTGTTTATACTGAATGTTTGTTTCCCCACAGTTCTATTTAATCATGTGCATTGTTTACGTGATATTTGGCATAATTTGGCTGTTTGTTTCATTCGCCCAATGGCGGGATCTGTTGAGAATTCAGTTCTGGATCGGTGGCGTCATTCTGCTCGGTATGCTGGAGAAGGCCTTCTTCTATGCCGAATACCAAACGCTGACGAATAAGGGAGTGCCGGTTCAACATGCTGAGCTGGTCGCCGAATTTGTGTCCTGTGCGAAGCGCACTCTGGCCAGGATGCTGGTCATCATCATGAGTCTGGGCTTTGGAATTGTCAAGTGAGTGATAGATCGGGTATTTTCTGATTGGTAAAACATTCTACTTATACCTATACAATTTTGAAGAGGGGAAATCCCATGAAATTCATTATCAGTTTGGCACTTTCTCCTTATCGTTATTATAATCTTTTTAAGGCCGCGTTTGGGACCCATGTTGCATCGGGTTGTGGGCATGGGAACCCTATACTTTGTGCTGGCCTGCGTGGAGAGCTATTTGCGTATCACCAATGTGAAAACTGATCGCAGCGAGCTGCTGGTGGCAAGCATTCCCCTGGCGGTTCTGGACACTGGAATATGCTGGTGGATCTTCACCTCGCTCGTGCAGACCACTCGCACACTCAGACTAAGGAGGTGACTCACGCACACGCCAAAATCTTAAACACTTTCATCCAACAACGTGTCTGTATTTCAGAAATATGGTCAAGCTCTCGCTGTATAGGCACTTCACTAACACCCTGATCTTTGCTGTTATCGCCTCCGTCATCTTCATGCTCTTTGCGTTGCGTTTGCGTAGGATCGAGAATTGTACGCCTGTGAGTTGATTAGCATGAATTGATCTGCGAGCAGGTTTAAGTGTTCCCAAATCTCTTTTCACGCTTCATTTAGGGATGGCGTGACATTTGGATCGATACTGGCTTCTGGCACATTCTGTTTTCGGTGCTGCTGTTGGTGATTATGATACTATGGCGACCCACGAATAACAACCAGCGCTACGCCTTCACTCCGCTGCTCGATAATCCAGAAGATGAAGACGATGAGGGTAAAATAATAATCCTAACCTGCCAATAAAGTGAAACTAATTAAATTTCTAATTTTACAGAAGAGGAGGATCAGTTTGTGGCTGATGCCTATGGTGTGAAAATGCGCGGACAGAATGGTACGCCGAAGACGTCGACAACTTCGCGGAACGCCACGACGACCGAGGAGGACGACTTGCGCTGGGTGGAGGAGAACATTCCCTCCTCAATGGCGGACTCGGCTCTGCCCATCCTAGACTCGGATGAGGAAATCATCAACACCAAGTTCGAGGTGTCGAAAATGCAATAATCTGTGACTTTCGCTGGACCGAAGAGACTTTCTACGCATATTTTTGCACATTCACACATCCGTGTCATCCGCCAGCAGCAAAGCCCCAATATGCTATGTATTTTTTATTTCGATTCGCCATTAAGGAGGGAATTATTTACTGCTGGACACCATTGCTGTGCTGCGCTGACACTGATCTTCCAATTCGAGAACTGTTTGTCCAGCCACGCATTCTGAAACCGTGTAAAATATTGTATCTAATCGTAGCTCCTTCTACGCGCACTTCCTCCCCTCTAATAAATCTAACTTATTCATAATACCTAGCCTAAGTTGTAGATATCTATGCGACGAACCGTAAACTTAATTTATAAACCTCGATTTCGATTCTAATGTTGAACCCCTAGTACACTCGCTAATGTGTATAAGCGAGTAAGTTGTTGTCGCCTCATTGTATATAGCTGGTAACACAAACAAAAAAAAAAAAAAACAATCTATAAAAATGTATAAGTATTCTGTAATAACTACGATAAAACGCAACCACGCAATGTCGGGGAAAACTTTAACTTGAACTACTGCTGATAACTGAGAAGATTAAAAAGGAATTAAATTTGTAAGCACACGATCACTTGCGTCACACACCTCAACGTATTTAAATATATTTTTAATCAAACGGTTTAAGATTTTCATAAATAAATGCAATCGTATCTTAAAGGTAGCAATGAACCAAACTGATTATTGTTTTCTTTGAGGACTTATCTAGTTTCATTTGCTATTTGTCGAGCCCGATAACGCGAGTTTGTTATATCCCAATGACAACACAAACAAGTTCTCAGAAATAGTTCTATCAATATTTATTAATTGCGCCCCACCCAAGTTTAAAGACCAAAGATATAGTTTAATATTTATTAGTTTTCTCTTTGTATAAAATTTCTCTGCCTTCCGAATTTTAGTTAAAAAAATATTAAGTAAAGATGATAAGGTAATGTGCATTTCTTCAGATAATACAATCACAAAGCGATTTCAGTTAATATTTTTGCTTCGAGCTCCTTACTGTTAGAGTACACATAAACACAAAGCCACAATTAATAAACACAATATTTATTCGCGGAAGAATTAAGGACGAAACTCAAGTGCCTCGACTTCGGTACAAAATATGCATTATTACAAATAAGATACAAATACTTATGGATACTAGATCTTGAGGGGCGGCGAAGTTGGCATTTTCGGCTGAACTGCGGATGAAGCGCGACTCTAAATTGCAACAATATGGGAGGACAGTTGAAACGGGCGGGCAAATTTACATTAATATGTTTCTCGTGGTGTAACAATTTTCTCGTGTAACAAATTTACTGCCTAGAAATGCGTATTTAATATTTTAGTCTGCTTTAATCGAGGCTAAGCGAAGTCCTTCTCTGTTCGATAAAGAGTGAATATTGGGGAATTGGCTGGATGCAGCCCAAATATTATGGAAATGATTCGAGTTCGTAGCGGCTTTCATTGGAATAATATTTGGATGGCTGCAGCGCCTGGCAATTCGCATAATATTACACTCTTCTGGGGCACAGTCGTGTTTGAAGGACCTCCTCATAGTCTAGATCTGTGGTTGTTTATTGTGGAAATTCAGCCTTTAGCCGCTCAGTGCTCAGTTCGATTCGGGCTTGACATTGCGTCGCAGGATGGCCGCTGCCAGGTCCTGTTTCATGGCTGCCTGCTGGCGCTGGTCGGCCAGCGACTGCGTGCTCCTTAGTCCGTTCACAATGTCCTTGGTCTTGCCAAAGTAGATCTCGTTGAGGGTGTTCCGGATCTTGTTCTCCATCTCCTCGACCATTTTGCCAATGTTGGCAATGTGCGGCGAGGACTCACTGACGTTGGCATCCTGTTCCTGCTGTCGGGTCAGCGATCCGCCCAGGTTCATGGTGCCCGAGCCCTGTTTGTTGGTCTGCAGCCACAGCATTGCCGTGGAGGTGAGCTTGTAGTGGGCCGTTCTGCCCGTGGTCTTCTCCTGGACTTCCACCACGTGAATGGAGTCCCAGCAGCCGCGGATCATCTTGCTGCCATCGCCCGCCTTTTTGATCAGGATAACAGCGGCGAAGCCGTGATCCAGGTCCCACAAGTACACCGAGGATACCCCTCCCTCGTAGTACATCTCCCTGTACTGATCGAACGCGTAGTTGGCCTCGATTTCCAGCTTTCGCAGTCGTTCCGAGGGCATTTGGCCGTCCTCCAACGGGGGATAGTACGAGTTGGACCAGGGAGATCTGTAGGAGTCCCCGTCCCGATTGTAGTCGCACAGCAGGTAATCCTTGCCGTGCTCCTTGTCCTTTGCAATCTTCAGGGGCTGATCCACCGAGGACAGCAGGTCCTCGCACAAATCGGGTGCCAAATCTATCAAGTCAATCAGGTTCTTCTCGATTTGCTGGGGAGGCAGGCGCCGCATCAGATCCAAAGCACAATCCATTTGCATTTCCGACTGAAATAGATATTCGAAATTGAGTCACTGCAGCGATAAGAAAAGAGCCCCCAAATCCCTCGTTTTTGGTCACTGTCACCCGGCAAAAGGGATTACCATATATGGGCATTATTTAAGGTCACAGGCCGCCGCCCCTATCAAAAGTATTTTCCTTTTAATATGATTATAAAACTTAGTTTTACTTCAGCATGGGCGACACCGATACAAAAACACCGTTTGTTGGCCTGTTTTTTTTTCTGTTACCATTCATATACTATTACTCACCATTTTGATACTTTTGCTTTCCTTTGTTTAGATGGGGTTTTTACTGTTATAAGGTCGGGCTTCCGTTCGCAAGGACAAGCCAATCTTAACTCTACCTAGGATTTGGGTTTTTATTGCAAGTAATTGCACTAAATTGACTCTTTACTATATTTTATTATTACAATTTTTTTTAATATTTTTGCTATGTTGCTCTGGTGTGACCAGCTGCGCAAATGTGCAAGAAACCATTCGCACCAATAAAAATACCAAGATACCAATGCTTATCCGAGAAACAAACCCACTGGGCTGAATACTTTTTAAAACAATCTGCATTGGTCAGATTCAACGGCTTTTTAAATTCAAAGTCGATAAAACGTCTGGCTACTGTAATTCCAAAATTGCCCAAATAAAACTTTTCGAAAATGTTGTTTTTATTATATTTTAGCAACAAGTTTATTGAATTTAGTTTCGTTCATATACTTTTATGCTTAATTCCATTCTGGTTGCCCATTTCCTTTCCGTGTGAGTTGTGTGAGTTTCTGTTACAATGCGTTTGGTTTTCTGTGACTGTTGTTTGTTTTAGCTTACTCGTAGTTTTTAATATGTTACACAAAAATGTATGGCATAATCGTAAATTTTTTATCCGAGTTCGTGTTTAAAATATAGTTAAGCTGCCTCGCTGGCTCATTCTTCAGATATACATACATACATATTTAGAAATCAAATGCCTGCTCCGAAAATGTGGTACATTCACTTCCTTCTGTCTCAATCCGTGGACTTCTTGATTTTTTACAATAACTTTAGCCAAATACATATGCGTGTGGATTTTTGCTTCGTTAGTAAGTAGTTCAATAAACTTAATTAATCGTTTTTGGTTTTAGATTCCCGTGTCAAATACGTTTTTTAGGTGTATACTTCGACCATATACATAAATGTAAAATCTCAGACTTTAATTTTTAACTAAGGTGCACTACATACAGAAATCGTTCAGAGAAATGCGAACTAAATCGAAAGTTTGTCGCAGCTCAAGTTTTAGCCTGGGTAAACTGTTACAGGTGTTCGTAAAATAAGGGCAGGTTTAACTAGTCTCGAATAACTTAGATAATTATAATTTGTATTTCTTAGTTGTTCTTTTGAAGTTTAATATTTCGGCTAATTAAATATTTATTTACTTATGCTCTGTCGTATTCTTAGACATTGTGCCAATACTCGAAATCAAAAGCGGCTTCAGATAATAATACATAACTCCATTTTCAATCGTATTTCGTATTTCTTTCGCTCAATTAATTATGCAACATTCGCTTATCAACGCTTCGACAATCAAATGTAATCACAGTTTTATGTTTTCCTTCTTTATATAAACTCATTTTCATTTAGCTATTTATTTCACTATTTTCGCATTTCGCGTTGAGTATGTGTGTGTGTTTCTGTGAGTGTGTTTATATGTTCGTTTCTTGTTGTTGTTGTTGTTGTTCTTGTGGTTCTTGACTTTGTGTGGGTGGTACAAATAAAATACTAAAGGAGTGATAAGTACATGCCTAGTCCTCATGTGCTTCAAAAACTCACCTAACCTTCCAATCATCTCCTCTCGATCTCTCGATCTCTCTATCTTTATCTCAATCTCCATCTATATCTCATTCCATTCGGATCCATGCTTATGAACATCTCAACTCACTGATCCTGCGCTTTCGCTTTCCATGATCGCTTTTTATTAGATTATTAATACTATTACGTATTTAGAAAACTTTAAGAATATTGCACAACTTGTGAAAATGCTGACTTGACTGCCGTTCTCATTTCGTTATAAGTTTTTAAAAATATTTCATTTAATATTTAATACCTGAGTTGTTCATAATCGTTTCGCATGATTATTACATCCGTTTTCGGTTGTTTATATTATTATTATTTTAATCGTAATACATATCGAAAAAAGTTTTTTTTTGTTTGTATTAAATGCATGTATACATCGTCGTGAGTCTTGATAATGCCCTGAGTTTGCTCCAAATGGATTTGCGTTTTTTTAAAACTATTTTTTTTTTGTTTAACCTTTTACATTTACATATACATATTCACGTAAAGTACATTTCAATACACATTCGCATGCATACCGAACTTTTTCTCAAGTGAACCGTTGCCTTCATTGAATTTAAGTGGTTAAAATTTCGTTTGGGTAATTCGAAAACTTTTCAGTTCAGAACAAAGTAAATCGAATGGTTTTTCTTGGTAGTTTCATGTGTAACTCAAGTTCAGTTGCATTCAGATTTCAAATCAAAAACCCAAAATTAAGGAAAAACCAAATAGGGTGAACCTTATTGGAACTTAACTTCAACACTCAATCGTAAAAGTCACACCAACTGTCCTTTTTCCGAACGACAGCTTCCCTTAAAATTTTAACTTTATACTTTACGCCGAAAAATTTGTACGATTTTTTCTTCATCGATACCTCGCCTATATATATATTTAATTAATTTTAATTTATCTGCTAAATTTTGTTTGTTTTTCCTGAAATTTTGTACTCGTCATTGTTCCAAAAGTTTTTGTATGTTTTCAAGTGTGACCTTTATAATTTAAATTCGAAAACTAAACTCAGGGAGTACGAAATAAAAAACAATTAAAATGCACACATACATTAAATATAATTTGTACTTGCTTCGATTTATCGTGATAGACAAATTTACAACAACTTGATTTACACATTGAGAGGGCAGAGACGTGGGGAATGCGTTATATATGGGGGATATACAGCCATATCGAATGCACATATAACTAATTTCATTAAGCATTTTCCTCCTCAAATTTCGCATTGAACTGAACTGTAAAGTTGCTTAGGCCTAAACACATTATTTTCTTTAAATTACTTTCGATAGTCGTAAACTTTAGTATACATATTTTCGTTACAATTACTTTTTGGGGAGACAGTGAGTGGGGGCATAATCGATCGGGTCCAAAAAAAGTTGTCAGTACTGAAGGGGTAAAATTTTGTTTGTGTTATGTTTTTAAATTTAGTAAACCAATAAAAATTGCCAATTATGAGAGGTTTTGTGTTTTTTTTCTGGGGTTTAACATTTATTTAGTTGCATTTTGTTTTTAGCATTTACGTGTGTATATATTATAAATTTAGATTTTATCATATAATTGTTACAAATTAGAAAAAATGTGTAAACAAGCCAATTTGTTGCGATCGAACAGAACATGACGAAAACTGTTACAAATTATACAAAACATATATTACATTCTTTTGCCTCTTAAACTAAAACTGGGGTTGGTGCATGCAGTTTTCGCTTTTCTCCTTTCATTATTTTATAGTTATTTGAAATAACTTAGGTAAAGTAAGCATAATAGTGTTTCGTGGTTGGGGGATTGAGGGGAATTGGTTCTGTTTAAAAAATGTCACAAAATTATATTAAAAGTGAAAAGTAATCGTAAGTACAATTGGCTTGTTGAGGGGGATTTTCGTGTTATTTTGCTTCTTGACATTTCGCGCTAAATATTAATAGAAAAACAATTACTAACAAAAATATATAACAAAAATTACATCGATTCTCTTACAAAATGTTCGGTGCACTAATTTTCACATTAAATTGAACTTAAATTTTGTTTTGTACCTGTGCACACTATTATTATTTATATCGTTACATTTATTATATTTGTATTCTTGTTACAGTTTCAATTTTGTTTTATGGATTTGCTTATTAATTAATTTATACAACTCAAGGGTTAAGGTAACTAAAAATTACAGAAAAATTACGAGTATACAATACACAGAATTCTTCTTTTTGTTTAATTTATTTTATGTACAATAATTTGATTTCGTGACAATTGAAGTCGACGTTTTGTGTGCTTTACTGTACTGTACGCTCTAAATGCAAAATGGCGACATTTGTTTTTTACGTTTAGATTAAGTTAATTACGCTCTCTGGGATTTTTGTTTGCAAACATATTTTACAAAGAAATTATTTTACGCCGCTTGTCGAAAAGTTGGGCCTAAAATCTGATTACAGATAAAAGTATTTTTGCTTTTTCTTTTTTTAAATAAATATTTATGTATAATTGATGCACGTACAAGAGGTTTTGCTTGTGCCTAATATTTGTTATAATTTTATTTTTTTCTTTAGCCAAAAGTTAAGCCTAAAATGTTTGTTTTGTTGTAAAGTTTGCTTATTTACGCAAGTTTCTTTTAGAAAATTTTTCTCCTCGTTTAGCAAAATGTTTTTTTCTCATTTTTTAGTTTTTATAACCTTTAGGTTTTTCTTGAATTTAATTTATTTTTCTTTGCTCAAAAAGTTTTTTTACGGCCATTGGACTTGGCTCAAGCAAAAGTATACCATTTACTGGGATCATTTCTTATATTTTTTTGTGGATTTTTCATTCCTTTTTGGGGTAAATTTTGTAGCCTTAAATAATTTCTTTGTATTTTTGTTTATAGTTAGATTATAAAGAGTTACGTTTGTTTTCTCTTCTGTTTTGTTTGGTTTGCCTCATTTAGTTGCTTTGCCGAAATTGATGTATACAAATGATCTTAATCCTGGTCTACATCTGCTCTCTACACATACATAGTAAAAGATTTGGATATTTTTCGTATAATTAGAGTTTAGCCAAAAGTATATTCTTGTAGTTTTACATTAAATGTGTTTTTGTTTTTTCTGAATTTCGTGGGCTCTGTGTGTTCAGCGCATATTTACATGAAAACGTTCGTTAAAGAAAAACTGTAAGGGGGTTTTCAACCGATCTATCCCTTCTCAAATACCAAAGGTTGTTCAGTGTGTGGGTTCGAGTGCTTCTGTATGTGTCACCATTTTACAAAAAGAAGAAAATCAAGTGGGAACTGGGAAATTTATAGTTATATCATGCTCATCTCGTTACTGCGCAGTCTATGGCTAATTGAGGTAGTTCAGTTTACTATTGCAGTTCGATCTGGTCTTGGTATCCCAATATTATTGCTATTGTGTTGCGTTGCGTTGTGTGTTCATGTGTGATTGTGTCTTTTACATTTAAAATTAGTCCTCACTAAACATAATTGCTAGCCACTAACTAACCGATAATCGAACTAAGAACTAAAGCTTTCCTTGATAGCATCTTCGATTACAACAAAACATTTTGTGTTTCTCCTCTCGCGTCCTTTCGTTTGTTTGTTTGTTTGTCCCATGCGAAACCAAAAATTATAATCGTAATAATAATAATAATAGTAGTAATAAAAATAGTTCAAACAAGATTAAAAACACAAGGAGGTAGGTTCTTTCCTGAGGTATATGAGTTCCTGAGTTTGATTAGACTCTAATTGTAAGACGAAACGAATACCGAAACTAACAACTAAGGTGGCGTAAACTAAACGTAAAGTTAATGATTAAAGTATGGTTATTCGTAATAACCCCTGGTTACTAAATAGTATATTGTTTGATTGATTCACTGACTGACGGATTGAATTACTGACTGATGGCTTGCCCCGGCCCGGATCCCCGAATCTGGTCCCCGTCATCGTACTTAAAAATAAAATGTAATTCAGACTCCAGCGAACGTTGACGGGGAGCCAGAAAAAAAGGATCGGCAACCGAGGGTTAAACTGTATGGGTGCGAAGAGGTAGTTTGGTTTTAAATATTGCCAGACTTTAATGGTTTAATATTGCTATTGCTTTTGCGGTTGTCTTGCTGCTGCTTTTCTGTTTCTGTTTCAGAATCTGATTGTGGTTTTCCTGCTCAACACGAATGGTAAATAAAATTCGAGTTGTCGTCTCTTGATCAGGACAAATAATTGATAAAACGGAAAAGAACTAAACGAAAAAAATAAACGCTTTTCTCGTTTGCAACTTCAAAACGATATATCACAGAACAAACTGGGGGTCGGGGTGACATTGGTAATTGGTAATCTGCATCTTCTATGGGTAAAAAGACCTATTTTAACTCGGCTTTGTGTCTCGTGTGTGTGCGGGTGTGTATTGTGGGGTCAACAGTTAATAAAAGTAGTTCAATATTCAACATTTTGGCTATTTTCTATGGATTCTATGGATTCTGGATCACCCTTTGTGGCTTTCATCGGATTTCCTCTATTGCCTTGCTAACGGAAAACGTTAAAATGAAGACAGTGTTTCACAATTGAAATTCAGTTAGCTTCTAATCAAATAAAACCCTTCTTCTCTCTGTTGGCGAGCCTAATGTGTTCCTACATATGCGCTTAGTGGTTTATGTTTACAGGTATTTATATATATATATATTAGATCTAGGCTTTATCATTATACAACTGAGGCCGCGCATATATATGCTATGGATATATATGCGGTAATAATTATTGTATTTACAGTCCAAGGATTCGTTTTTTTTTGCCTTGGCTCTGCCCTTCGCATGCTGGCAGACATTTTCTCAATATTTTCCATTGCATTTTCCTTAGGTTTCCATTCTAGTTTCTTCTCTTTTGCTTACAACAAAATTGTTACTCTTTCGTTTAGTATTTTACAGCTTTTTTTTGCGGGGTTTGGTTTTCTATCGCATGGGGATTCCCCCAGTTGATGTAGCCATCGAAATTATAAGAGCCGAAAAAATGAATTTTGAATTTTTGTTGGTTGGATTTTTGTTGAATTTTCTTCTGTTCGAAAAATGTTTTCCAAAGGTGTGCCAAAAGTTTGATTTTGAATTTCGCTTTCTTTTCTGTAATTATTGCTGTTTGCTTGTTGTTGCTTTTTGTTGTTGCCTTCAAGTTTTTGAGAACGTTTTTGAGTGGTTTTTGCTTAATATTTTCGTTTGTTAATTAACATGTTTCACACTTGGCTAGAATTATTCAATTAAAAAATAATTATATTTACTTTACGTTTTCTTTGCTATTTGCTTTTCTCTCACATCTTTAAATATACTTTTCTTTTTGTTTTTTATAAAATTTTACTAGTAGTCATTTAATTATATATTTCTTATAGGCACCCAATTTACCAATTGTTTTTTTTCTTCATTAGAAACTTCTGAATTCGGAATTGAATTTGTGTTTTTACGTTTTTGTAGCCGAAAAGCAGTTGTATTGAATTTTGAGGCCTAAACTTGTGGGAATAAATCATAAAACAATACGAGAAATCACAAAACAAAAATGTTACTTGGTTAAAGCAAATTGTTGAGCGCAGATCCTGGAATCCTTGAATCCTTGGAAAGGGGGACTCATCACCTTCCCCACTCTCTGCCCAAGTTGCCTATTCGTATTGTTAATTTAATAAAATTATTTACAAAAAAACCGGACAAAAGGGCAGAAGTTCGGGGAAGCGAGGACCCACTTTCCAAATTGGATGGTCAAGGATCCTGGAGTCCTGGCTCCTCCTTAGTTTTTACTCAGCGTTTCTCTTCTATTCTGTATTTTGTTTCTTTTGTTTATACTATTTTATTATTGCAGGTACTTGTGGTTGCGGTTTTGTTGTTGCTATTGTTGCTTTGTAGTTTGTTTGTTGCAGCTATTTGTTTTGCAGTGTTTTTACTTTTAGTATTTCACGTTTTGTTAAATTCAGTTTTCAGTTTTCAGTTTACTTTCATTTTAGCATTATCGTTTCGTTTGATTTGAGGCAACTTGCAGTTCTTGTGACGTTTCTATAGGAAATCAAAAATATATGCGACAATAATCTAATCATCGATCTCCTCCTTTACTTTTTTTAACACACACGAATAAACAAATTTGTTTTTGTTTTGCTTTTTTTCTTTTTGCTATGCTTGCTACACTTTTTAGGCGGTACCAATCAAAAACGTTCAAACTTTTTGCATTTACTATTTCGTTTAGTTTAGTTTAAGTTTTAATTTGTTTTTCATTGCATTGGTTGCGAGTGTTCTTGTTTGATTAGCACCCTGAAAACGATTTTTCAGCCGGATTGCATTTGTTTCTATGTTCTGTTTGCTGCTAATGTTTGAGTTTCTTATAGTTTGTGCTTGCTGCATTGACTTGGTTTCTTTGTTTGATTGATTTGTTGGTGGAGAGTGGCGTTAAACACAAATTTGTAATGAAAATTCTGCAAAAAGTTGGACATCTAGTGTCTGTTGTGTCTTCTTCGTGTGGTAAATCTTATCGTATCATCGTAGTAATTCCTTGCTTTTTAGGTATTATATGGTTATCAATAGACCCAGTTAGTTGTGGGTCTTATTTTCATGCTTGTTGGTCTCCGAGGGCAACAGCAGTTGCATCAGTAGTCATCATCATCTATAGCTTTCTATATCTTTCTTGCGCGCGCGTAAATCTTGTTTTGTAAATCACTCATCCTTCGCTTTCATCGATTCTTAGCCTAAATTTAAGCAGCTTCTTTGGGGGGCATCTTATGGGGCATCTCCTCTTAATCTCCTTCTCGTACTCCTCCTCCTTCTGGTTCTCCTCATCCTATTGCTCCACATTGACCTTGGGCGTGGAGGTCAGAGTGGGCGGCTCGTTGGGCGGTATTATGTGTGGGGGGCTGGTGGGCGTGTTCGGCATGTGATCGTAGATGGCCTCGGCCTGGATATCCGCATCCGGTTCGGACATGTGCAGTCGGTCCTCCTCCTCGTCCTCCGACTCCGACAGCACCTCGATCTTCGGCTCCACCACGAGCAGCTCCGAGCCCGGCTGCGGTTCCGGCGGCTGCATCTCCTCCTCCTCCTCCTCCTCGTCCACCTCCATGGGCCGGTCGCTGCCATCGCTGGCCTCCGCATCGCTGCACCCGTCGCTGGTGGTGCCGCCGGTGGTGTTCGTCGTGGTGGTGGTGGTGGTCGTGGTATTGGTTGTCGTCGTCGCTGTGGTGTTCATCGTCGAGTCCATCTCCCTGGCCGCCTGCTCCGCCGCCATGGCTGCGCGGATCTGTTGCGTCAGCTCGTGATGCATCCGCTGGCGATGCTCAAAGGCAATCGGTTCGTTGCCCACCGAACCTGCCGCCTCCCTCTGCCGTTCCTCCGCTCCTGCCCCTCCTGATTCTCCTCCTGCTCCTGTTCCTGCTCCTGCCTTCCCCTCTCCTTCCCCCTCTTCTCCTCCCCCTCCGGTGGTGCTAACGGTGGCCTCCGCCACCATCGCACTCTGCCGCTGCATGCACTTCTCGAGTGCCATCTTGAGTGATTTACGTTTGCGCTGCTTGGCCGCCTCCTTGGTGGCATTGATGACTACTGACGCCGCTGCTGTTGCGGCCGCTTCCTATGGTGAATGATTGTTGGCCGCCGCTGCCGCCGCCGCTGCTGCCACATGCGCTGGGGCAATGGTTGCCCCCGCCGCCAGTCCGATCTCCTGCTTGTGCTCCCGGGCGATGTGGCGCCGCACCGTGTTGTTCCGCGTGAAGGTGCGCTCGCAGAAGGGGCACGGCACCCGGATGCCCTGATGGCGCTGCCTGATGTGCGCCCGCAGGTTCGTCTCGTAGCCGTACAAGCGATCGCAGTACAGACACTTCAGCTTCTTGCCGTCGGCGGTGTTCACGCTGTTCTTGTTGTTCATCTTGGTGGCGTTCCACACGTTCAACATGTCCGCCGGGGCAATCGAGGCGGCCAGATTGCTCGAGAGCGTTCCGTCCGCCTTTAAATTCTCCAGCAGGGCATTCGGCGTGGTCGACGAGGTGTTCGAGTTCGGCGGCGGTGGCGGCGAGTACTTCAAGTTCTCCAGCTTCACGCGCAGATCCTCAGCTCCATTCTAATTATTTTATTTATAAAATATAATGTTTATTAAATTAAAATATATTATAAAAAAATATATATAGTAGGTACTCACATCTGTCGACTCATCCATAAGCTCGCGGTCGTCGTCGTTCGCCTCGTTGGCACTGCCATTGTTGCGCTCCGATTTCACTATGCGGTCCAGGCCACTAGTGGCGTTTCCATTTCCCGCTGTGGTGCTGGGACTGTGGTTCTCGTAGCGACTAAAAATACAAAAAAATGGTTAAATAAAGCAAGTAATAAATAGTTTATATAGATAAAAAAATGTGTTCATTTAAAACCATTTTTCAAAATTTCAATATTTAAATAAACATTCCAAAACCATTTTTAAATATTCCATCACAATCATAAAATCTTACATCTTTTAATAAAGTAATTTAAATTTTTAATATATCAAAAAAAGTGTTTATTTAATATTTAAATCAATTTTTTAAAAAGGTATTTTAAAATATTTAAATAAACTAAAACCATTCATATTCCATTACAATCGTAAATCATACATCTTTCAATACATAAGATTAAAACTTATTTTAAAATATTTAAGCAACTTAATGAATTGAAAACAACATTGCAGTAATGTTTCTAAGCATTCAATTTTGTTTCTAGAATTAAATTTTTAGAAAATGCAGATATTATATTATGTAAGAAAATGTATTTAAAATATACCCCCTTCTAGGCGATTCTATTAAACTCACCTGGACTGTGGCGATGCGCGCTCGGAGTGCATGGTGTCCGCCTCGGTGGGCGCCGTCGAGGAGGCGCTGGAGGAGGGGCGGTGGTACGGCGGCTTGTTGATGGGGCTGGGGCACTCGGAGGACTTGGAGCCGTCGCGCAGCACGGAGCCGCGCAGCTCCTGCTCGGGATAGGGACTGCGGAGCGGTCGCTTGCGGAGCGGCTCGTAGGAGCTGGGTCGGTAGATGGGTGGCACGTAGCCCATGCCGGAGGAGCAGCTGCTGCTGCCGGGGTGCATCAGCGAGTCGCACTCCTGCTTCAGGCTGCCGGTGGATCCGCCCAGGTGGTGAGCAGCGCCAGCGCCGCTTCCCAGGCTGATGGGTCCGTTGTTGCCCCCGCTGCCGACTCCATTACCGCCGACTCCCACTCCTCCTCCGCCCACTCCGCCTCCGTTTCCGCCACTGCCCGCTCCCCCTCCCAGGGAACCTCCTCCACCGCCCGCCGCTGTGCCGCCGATGATGTTGCCACCGGCACTGCCGCATCTGTCCAGGGCATTCGCACTGGCCGCCAGGGCACTCAGCCCGCTGGCCGCCACACTGGCAGCCGCCGCCATTCCTCCGGCCGCGGCCATCCCGGCGAGACTCAGCCCGTTGCCGATGCCCAGGCCGCCCGGTATCGATCCCGACCCGGATCCGCCGCCCAGACCGATGCCGATCCCTGCGCCGCCGGCCACGATGCTGCTGCTCCCGCCGCTCAGACTGTTCCGTATGCTCCGCCTGCCCGTCGGCGAGTCCAGTGGCGAGGAGTCGCCCATGTGTTGTTGCGCCTGCTGCGCCGCCAGACGCCCGGTTTCGGTGGACAGGCCTTTGACCTGGTGAAAAATGGGGTATAAAATTAATTAAATATGTATATATTTTTTAATTTATCAAGGTTACATTAAGGGTTGAGACTGGTAGGCAACAATGGAAAAACGTATCAGAAATTAAAAAAATACATAATTTAAAAAATATTAAAACTATTTGTATCACAACAAATGTAAATTATTTTGGAGAACGTAACATTTACTTTTAAGGTTGAGTATCGGAAATTAAGAAATAATAAAAAAAAATATATTAATAATATTTTATATCACAAAAATCAAAATTACTTTAGAAAAAGTTACATTTAGAGATATAATATAAGGTCAAGAAAAAAAAAAACCAAATTTAAAAAAAAAAAGGGGGTATAGAAATAAAAATAAAAAAAAAAAAAAAAAAATTGAAGTTTATTTTCTTTTAATTCATAAGATACATATATCAATTTGTTGAAATACTTTGATTAGCATTTAAAGAGTTACCCACCTGCAAACTCTCGGCTGACTTGAGGAAACTGTTGAGTGCCTCCTGGGAGACGTGGACCTCGCCCTTGTACATGAACTCCAGGAGAGCGGCCATGTTATCCGGCGTGGTCGCCTCCAGGATGATGACGCACTGGCCATTTGTGGGGGTGTTCTCGAACAGATCGGCGAACTTCTTCGAGCAGGCCGCCAATATAAGTTTGTGTGCTTTGAATACTGCGCCTGAAATTGAGGAAAAATAAATAAAAGGTTAAAATATATTACTTAATTCAGTTTATTTTGTCTAATTAGATATAATCTACTTTAAAAGTTACTCTTGCAAAAGTATGCAAAAGGACGCTCCCTTTAATTGCTGGCAAATGGTTTTTGGGACAGGGCCAGGCCACTTTCCCATCCCTTGGCTCTTCCAAGGGTTTTCCGATTAAAGCATCCCAGTTTGGGGCAGAGACCGACCCATAAAAGGTTGCCAACAGGTGGCGTGGAAACGCCAACCGAGACCTTGAACTCATAAAAAATCATGTCAAATATATACGAGCGGCACTCGCACATAAACACGTACACGGAGGACAATAAAAGCCGCAGCAAGGAAATGATTTCCTCGCTCCTGACTACACAGACACAAAAGGCAAACGGAGCTTTTCATCTGCGATTCGCTCTCATTTTCGGTATTTTCCTATGTGTGTTCCTCTCGTCTGAGTTATTATTCAACATCAATGTCGTCTTGCCTTTGGTCTTGGTCCTTGGTCCTTGTCTTGGGTCCTGGCGGCAGTCCTTTGTGTCCTTTGCTCGCTCTACCTGACACACAAAACCCACCCGGCGTATACGCAATGTGCGAAAAGTGTGGGCGGAAAAGCCATCCTCAGCCGAAACTAAGTGTATTTTGATGTGCTCTCTGGTGGTGGTGTATGTATATAATCGTTTCGCTACAATTTTTCACGCTTTTCCTGTCTCTCTTTTGGCTTTTCTTTTACATCTTTTTTTTTTTTTTTGGTGGGAAGAGAGTGGGAGGGAGTGGTGTTTCACAGAAGTTATGTCTTTTCCTTTATGGGGCACTTGTTGTGTTAGCAGCGAGCATTACTTAAGCCAAATTGAAACGACGCTGGCACAGCGGTGTTTTGGGATACAAATACAAAATACAAAAAAATGTAGAGCGAAGAGAGACGGGCTAATATTTACCGGCGACATTGTTCATAAATATATCTCAAGTTTGACACTTTTTCACGCTGCCACTTTGTGAAATTTCTGTAGCAGCTGAAGCGCAAATGCATTAAGACATTTCCTCACTCAAACATTTCGGGGTTATTTCTTTTTTTTTGGCAGGCTTATCGCGCAGTGCAGTCCGTTTCTGTATGGAATTCAACAGAATTGTGTCAATTCTTGCCTCGGCTGATAAGAGCTGATAAGGCAGCGCGATTCGTGGGGCAAGACAAGTGAAAACAAATCGACATCCAAGGTCAAAACGAAACGCGCTGCACGATCCCCGAAACTGAATCAGTCAACGCGGCGGCGTCATCGCTGATTAGCTCTCGCAAAAATATGTATTATATAATCGCTTGATTAATACATATAGCATATAGACCATACGGACTACGCAAATTGCATTCGACATGTGCCGCAAAAAAAAACACACTCAACTTTTGCCCAAATAACTTTTACTCGTTCTCGCGATTATGTTTCGGTATCAGGCGTGTTTTTTTCTTTTTTTTTTTTTTGTTATTTGGATGGCTGGATTTTCTAACACTTGATACAACAGAAATTGGGTCACAATCACCACAAAGGAAACGCAAAAATAAAGCACATATTGCTATACAAATTCACTCCGATATGTCTGTATGGACTGGCCTTGATAAAGAAATGACATATGCGTATATACCTATATATAATATATATACTTCTCTGCTGCTTCGTTGTTTACGTTCTGCGTTTGCGTTCGTTTTTTTGTATTTACTCCGCAATTTGTTTTGATTTTGGGTTTTTTTTCGGGGCTTGGTATTATGCAGTTTGGCAATAACATCGCCTCAAGTACTTTCTGTTTTTATGGTCAATTATGGATTACAATCTAATCAAATGACTATTTGCCACGTCTATTCAACAAACAACAAGTGCCTTTGAAGGTATATTAAATATATCTCAAACAAATTCACATATCCTTGAGTTCTAGAAAAGAATTACAACCCCTAAAAGATTATAACCCTCTCTCGTGAAACCCATTAAAAACATGGCTTAAGGCCAAGTAAATGTTCATTGGGATAAAAATGCTCATTTCTCAAGTGTTGAATATTCCCCAAAAACCCAATCCAAAACTCCACGAATGCATCCTTTTCAATCACAACAAAAAAAGGGATATTGTATAAAAAAAAAGCGAGCAAAATACCCACATGAATATTAAAAACAATAAAAAACATACGTTATTTGCTTTGTTTTCGCAGACGGACAAATATTTAATGCTTCATTTCCAAATGGACAAAAGGAGCGGAGCAGAGCCAAATCAAACATAACAAATGCAGAATGCGAATGGACTCCATCTAAAACCTCTCAACCCCACGGAGAATTATTAAAAACCACAATTAAAAACAGTCAAAGCAAAGGGTTGAAAGGGGGAAGGAGGGGGAGGGAGGGGGGAGTGTGTATATGTGTGTGTGCTGGGGTGTAACGTTGAAAATTTTAATCAAAAGTAGTACCACTTCCATTGATATGAATGACAACGGAAACTGAGGAACAGGAAGCCAAAAGGGTTCCAGGATTTGTCTAGTCTTTTTTTTTTTTTTTTTTGGGGAAACTGTCTGCGTATTTTCCCCCAATCCTTATACTTCAGATATACCCCCTAATAATCCCAGGCAGTCGCTGCTATTCCCACTCATTCAATCAATGGATAAATCCATGTTTACGCACACATGGCGTATGCACAATTTTCGATGCGGAAATGCCCAAAACTCGCTCAGAGTTTTAAATTTAAAGCGAAAAGCAAGCTGATAACGAAGTGATTTAAAGGCAAGGTTAAGCTACAAAGAACATATATAAAGTTAGGGAGAGCATAAAATGCTTCACATACTCTACATAATAATCATAAAAATAAGACAAGATGCTCCGACACATAAACACCCAAGCAACTGGCGAAGGAAATATTTAAACCCGAATCAAAAGAGAACAAAAATAAGGTTAACAAGGGTCCCAAAACACACAACACACACACACACACACACACACACATAGACACTTACAGCCCCAAAGGAGCTACCAAATAACTGACCTCAGTCAAAGCCTGAATAAATATATACCAAACATACAAATAAAAGTATATATACGTATGTATTGTATATGTGAGGCTGCTATATAGGTTTGCCAGCATTTATTCGCCATTTAATAAGCCGGCATAAAAACTGTAGTAAAAGGCCGTAAATGAACTAGCAGACAGATCCAGACTGGGCTAGAAACAAGAAGGGGGAGGGAGTGGGAGGGTGAGGTTGAGTTGGCTGACAGACAAGGACGAGACAAGCCATAAAAGCCACTTCGCGTCTCCCATCAAACACAAAACCGGCGAGGGCAAAAAGAAATCAATGTCTGACTCTCCGCCGCACCGGCTTATTAGCGAAAAATAAAAATAAACATGAGCAGTTGGCAAAAAGGGAAATAAAGGAAACCGACTCGTAGGTAAATAAGAATAACTCAATTGTACGAAGGTTTATCATCGCCCATTGTTTGGGATCTTTCGCACAGAACTTCTGTTTATTATTTTGGTTGGTTTATTAACATTTTATGTAGTAGTATTTAGTTACCTTTAAGGTCTAATACCTTATATAAATATATTTTTTTTCAAAGACTTTTGTCAGTTGAATCAAATTTAACATTAAATAAATAAATATAAATATGCTCAGCTTTCTATATGGTTAATCATATTCCTTGCTTTGTGTTTTTTATGTCACATGCAAAGATCCGTCTAATAACCATTAATTAACTTGTGAATGAAGTATATATCTATCTTATATTATATATTAAATATAGAAAATTTCTTTTACTCACCATCGCAGGATAATGTGACATCGGCCAGCAGATCCGATTTGAACAGATTAGAGAATGTTATTGCCAAGTTCGACGAATAACTGTTCCACTTGAGGCAGAACTGCTGCTGTGGATCCATTTTGCCAGCAGTTTTGCGTCCACCGTCGCCGCGCCTATATCTATAGCTTTATCCCGATCCGTGGCCGTATCCGTATCCGTGGTGTCCGTTTCCGTTTCCGTATCGGTGTGCCTAACTTTCAGGATCCAAGTGCCGCTTCGAATGGCGCCAGAACGACGACAAAGTTGTTTACGATTTCTGCTAATAATTTTCAGTTGTTGCTGCTCTTCTTTTTGTTGAGTGGTGCTGCAAATTGATTTGTTGTTGTTGTTTGATTTCGTGGTGTTGCCAAAATGGAATTTCGTGGAATTTTGTAGCTGCCAGCAGAGCATAAAAGCAATTCGGCCGCTGCAAATCCTTAGCCAAAGGGAATTTTGCAATTGTTTAGTTAATTTCTTGTGTGTCGTTCTCGTCACTATCTCGTTACTCCGGGCGAATCGTTTCGGTTTTCTTATGATTTCCGCTGTTGCTGCTTTCGTTGCTTTCGATCCGTTTTTTATTGGCCTTGGCATAGAAATTCAACCAGAAACTTGTATGTGAGAGCACCGAATCTCAAACTGAATCTGAATCCGAATCCGAACACGACAAATGCTGCAACGAGAATGACGAAAAAAGTATTCGACGATTAGATTCGGTTTCGATGCGTTTGACAGAAAACTTGATGCCTGCTTGTTGCTAGCTTTCGATTACCCCCCTCATAAAAAATAACTAATAAAAATGGGGAGAAGGGGATGCAGGTTGCAAGGGGCAAGAAGAACACCCAGCCATCCAAGTAGTTCCGAGAAATAAGTTCTCCACACACCAAACTCAAATTTCAAAAGCTGAAACTGCATTGCGCTTGTGTTGGTAACTCTATCTTTGGCCTGCAGCATTTCCGACCAATTTATTAGAAATTAATCGAGCATTTAGAAAGAAGCGAGAACAGCCCGGCCGAATCAAAAATCACAAGATATACGATTCGGTTCTGGGAATTCTGTTTTGGCCAGCTCAAAAAAATGCCGCCGCTTCCAAAAGGTTTTTGATGCAACGCGCGAGCAGCCAACTTTCTGATTTCTGATTCCTGACTCCTCTAACTCCTCTGATTCCTCTGACTTTGTAGCCCCGTCTACGGTTTCTGCCCCCCTCCATTATCCTTTCTCGATTCCTGGATTCCTGGAAACTGCAGGTGAGGCTGCTCTGCGTTGCATGGGATGCGTTTGTTTTCTTCGAATTTGTTTAATCGTTAGAAAAATGCGGCCCGCAACTTTTGTGGAAGCTGCCAGGCCAGGGAGCTCACTTCACTGTTTTTTCTCTGCTCCCTTTTCTTGACCATCAAAATCAACGGTTTCGCTTCGAGCCATAATAAAAGGGGGGATAAAAAAGATATCGGTAAAAAGCTATTAAGAAATTCCTGGGAAGTTTGCAGTTTTTGAGTCCGGCAACTGGAATTCACTCGCAGGGGAAAAAGACTTAAAGGATGCCCTTGGGGGATAGGAATGATTTAAAGATTGGGAGAAATCGATCGAAATGATTCACTGTTTGAGGGGAAATACAGAAACAAATTTGGCATTTGATAAAAATATTCAAGAGTTGCTGCATTAAGTCAATGACATATTTCCATGATAATTCAGACTAGTATTGATGTTAATGCATATTTTGTAAAAAGTTAAGGTGTTAATTTTTTTATTTATAAGAAAGTAAATGAAGAATTAGTTAGGCAACAGTAAACCTATTCTTTCTTTGATTTATAAGGAATTGAACGAATCCAGGGGAACCTACCCCATCTCCCCTTTCCGAAATAAATCATTCGAAAAACTTTTACCACCTCTGTCATTGGGAACCACCTTTACCTTTCCCCTTCCCTCACTCCAGAGCAACCCCAACATGCCGCTTACAAATCCTCGTGAAAAACTTCTTTATTCCTGCACTTGGTTAGCTTCTGGCTTCGAGAGCTTTTAGCTCGACTGTACTGCAAAATCCTCTACTTATCCTTACGCTCCCATTGTTGTTGTTGTCAAAAGGGAATACGCAATGAAATTTACGCAGCTGCATTTGAAATGCTTTTTCAATTACACCAAATGCCCAACCATTGCCAAAGCAGAATAAAAGAAAAAAAAAAACGAAAGCCGAAAAAATAGATCAAAAATAGGATATACCCGTCTCGTTTTCAGAGCAGAGAACTCCGAGATGTACACACATTATGTACAGAAAACGCACCTGAATGGAGTCTCAAGGCGAAATCATAGCTCGGGTATCTGGTAACCTATCTGCCTCCAAACAAACATCAACAAAAGACGGAGATATGTGCGAAATGTACAGGAAAAACAAGGCGTAAATCCTTTTCACAAACACATTCACATTTCGATATGCGTTCCAGGAACAACGCACACACAAACGAAATAAAAGCAGCTTTTTTTTCGCTCCTTCAGTTGTCTTTGTGCTGGGCAGGAAGAATAGGTATATAGGGAATTTGGATCGGGAACTTTTAACCTGAGGGGAGGTTGAGGGTTGATCCTCGAGATCAGTAAAAAACAGCAACGCACTTTCAGTGAAAAAAATCTAGATTTGCGCAACAAATGATTTCAAAAGTGCAGTGATAAAAAGAAAAATGTTTCAAAGCAATCCATTATATTGAAAGATATATACTATATATTGTATATACAGTTTTTACCTCCCTCAACTAAATAAATCTGGCACAAAGCAATCAGCATTGAATTGCCATCAAAGCCATCGCACAATTAATTGTTATATTTTGTTGATGGCATTTCAACTAATTGACCTTGTGCACTATTTAGACAAAACGTCAATTCAATTCCGTGATTCACATTTTTTCTGTGTGCTCAGTCCGGTTGAGTGCAGTTGGGCAGCATATCTCAAGTGGTCAGCTGCGGATACAAAGATACATTCGGAATCGACACGCTACTTCGTATCTTTTTTCGACATTCTTGTTCGCTTTGAGCGGCAATTAATTCATACAAATGACGCATATTGTTATGAAATCTCTTTGTCTTTTTTTAAAAAAATAATTAGCAGTTTTTTTTGTATGTTTATTAAAAACTTTTTAAACTGGAAACTGCTTAAAATCATTCCTTCTACTGGGAATCCTGAAGATGCCCGTTTGGAGAAATAGAATTAATAAAAGCAACGCCAAAATCACAATCCAGAATAGCGTCAAGAATCGGCTTAGACTATCTTGCAGGTTTCGGAAATCATGACTTTTTTGGTCCAATTCATCATCAATATAGAAAAACATTTTTGTTTCGAACGAATTTGATTAAAATTGCAAGACCTATTTAGGTAGAATTTTTTTTTAACCTATTTGGTAGCTATTTATATGAAAATAATGTAAACCACTGCAATTAAAATGCCACCAAAAATAGCAATTTGGTAACATTACGGCATCGCATTGCAAAAGTTACTCAAGACATCTCGTTTGCAGAGTTGAGAAAACTCGTTCGCAGCACTTTGCCACTCCCCCTTTTTGTTTTCGAGGACCTGTCGCTGGCAGCTTCCAAACTGGGGGTTCAGGAAGGGAATGGGCCTCCTTCGACGACCAAAATATTACACATGTCCGCATAATGGCAAAAACGCCGGCAGATGTGCAGTCGGGAGATCCAAGAATAAATGTCGCATAATCCACAGCGCCAGTTTTGGGGAAATTGTGAAATACCTCGCCACGGGGAGGCGGCGAACTTCAAAGCGATGTCTTGTGAATTGCATAAAGAAGTGTGAGTTGCGTGGAAAGGGGGCGTGGCAGGTGGAGGGGGGAGAGGGTTATCTGAGTTATGACATATCGTAACAGCCCGCTGAGATGATAACCAACTCAATGGGCGGCAATCAGGTGCATCTGGCAAATAGCGCAATTGAGTAATTTCCCTGACATTTCGGCGGTTATTTCATTCATAATTGCAGTGGGAAAAGCTTGCTACATTTCCCGGACTCTCACATTTATTGTAACAATTTAATTTGGATTTTAGTTTGACTTTTTAAGCAGATCAGTAAATATACAACAAAGCCTGTCATCTTTAAAAGACTTGATTGAATTTCTACTGGTAATTACCACCACATTTTTCAAAGATTTCACCCACTTTCCACAGCGGAAAGTCAAGTGTGGCAGAGGTAATTAGCTATGCACGCAAATGCAACCAACTCGAAATGCAGCCCCATGAATAACAAATGAGTTGCCATCAAAGAGGCAAGAAAAAGCAGTTAACAAAAATACGGTTGACAGTTAGGTTAATATGCTTCGCTGAGCAGACGGGAAAAAAAATGTTGTGTTAATGCACTGCAAGTACAAAAAAAATGAGTATGTATCTTCAAGATACGCTTGCCTTGTCGCAATTACAAATTGTAATTTTTTGGATACATTTCTTTACTTTTTTGGTAGATTTCAAACCTCAAAAAGTTCATATAGGTCCCCAAATTAATTGTTCAAGAAACATAATTAGGTGAAGGGAGCTTATATTCTTTTCTGGACTTACAATGCCATGATAACTTTGACCCCGAATAATGAACGCTTGGTCGATCATAGAAAACATAGTTACCTGCAAGTAGAAAAAGAGAAGAATTGTAAATTAGTTAATGAATTTTATATAATAATTAAAGAATTGATTTAAAGCCAAAGAATAATTGAGTGGCTTATACATAAAGAATTTTATTTATTATGTTCTTTGGAATTTTCCCTTAATAGACGGCTAAGTTACGTTTGAAATCGAACCTCGGATTTGGCAGGCAGTCAATCATGGGGAACAAGGCTCGGCGGACAAGCGTAAAGTGGCAGGAACTGTCGGCCGTGTGGCACCATCCTTTAACCCCTTGGTGGCGCACTGCTCAAACCCAATTAAAAATGTCAAAAAAGCGGCGAATACCTGTAGGTAGTTAGCAGTTAGCGCACGCAGTAAATATTCATCACGCCGAGCCAACAAAGGGTTAAGGGGAAGGGGAGGGGGAGGGTGGTAGAGGGGGAGGAGGGGGTGCGGCTACGCAGAAGGATGTTTTGGGTTTTGGTTTTCTCGGGGAAGTCGAATCAAACATCCTGGCTGCGGAGCTCCATCTCCCGCATTTCCATCGCGTCACACAGTTTAACTTTTCATTTGGCGTTGCCTGTTTTTTTTTTTTTGGAAAGGGGCTCGAAACCCCCTTTACTGGGAGCCACTGCTTATCAGCATGAGACGCACACATGTCAGGACACACAAAAACCAGGAGCCACAGGAGGAGCAGCCGAACATCCACATCCGCAGAGTGACTGGAATGCATTGTGGACGTTGGAACAATTGCGTTTTGTATGTTTTCGTGCCTCGTCAGCAAAATTAAAAAATAGATACGCAAACGTTGGCCCCAAAAATACAAAAAAAAAAAAAGAGAGAGAGGGGAAAGGTGGGTGAGTCGTTTGAGCCGCCAAAGTTATATGAAAGAAAAGTCCAACCCCCCAGAGTTTGACCCCCCAAACGTTTTCCACTTTTCTCTCTGCCGAATTCAAATGTCACACAAGGATCGAAAGGTACGCATGGCCAGCTCTCCACTCTCCATTCTCCATTCTCCACTGCCCCACTCTCCACGTGCCTTGGTTTATTGCAAAAAATACACAACAAGCTGAGGGGGTGGGGTACACACAGAAAAAGTGGTGGGGGTTATGGGCAGGTCCAAACAACAGCTGCTTGGGCAGTTTTCCCTTCTCTTTTATTTTTTGCTTCCTTTTTTTTTTTTTTTTTTTGGGAGGCACAGGGAAAATCTAATAGAAGTAACACACAGGAGCTGGCCAGAAATGTCACTGGTCCAGGCCGATAACTATGGCCCTGCCACGCCCCCTTCGACCCCCCATACCACCCACTTCAGGCCAGAAGCAGACACCAACAGACCCACAGGATGAATGGTCACTGCCTCCTCCTTCTTTTCTCTCCTCCTCCTTTTTTTTTGGGTGGTTTTTTGTCTCAGAGTCTGGCCGAAAAAGCATCCCCCTTTGCAGCATTGCGTGTGTATTTTTATTGTATATATCATTGATGAATTCGCCGATAACAAATCTCAATCAAATGTCAAAAAGGTAACTGGCAGGAACGTCCGAACGATGGACAGAATACCAAACCCAACCACCCACCAACCCCCTCCCCTCTATTAAATCCAAGCCCCTCATTTTCCTACACGATGTAATGTTGCAATTTTCACGCAGGCCACGCGTCGTATGCGCAATTGTTTTAAGCAATTCTGCAGATAGATCGAAGTGCGGCGGAGAGTGGGGAAAGGCGATGGCTTCAGGCTGACAGCTGCAGGTGGGCAATGGGCAATGGGCGATAGAAGAATTGACCTCTACCCCCACTTAGGCCCCAACCATTTGCTCCCCTTGCGTGTGACAGCTCAAATTGTCATCTTGAATTCGAAAAGTGTCAAACTTTTGCGGAAACATTTCAAGTTGCGCCTGTCAAGAGGGGAAAACTGATGGGCAGAGATTTAAGAGAAAATGCATTCACATGGTGTTAATATTTTATAGGCTTTACTTTACTGGCAGCATTTTTAAGTTATTAAACCAAATAAATTTACTTTATTAAAATAATATTGTATTTAACCAACCATAAATTCTCTTAACCAATCTAGAATCAAACCATTTTTTAAGCCCTTCTTTTATTGCCTTTCCCCTCCCCTTTTCCCCTGTTGTTTTATTCGCATCATCACCAAATTAAATAAAGCTCAATGACAAACTTCATTAGCCGAAAGATCAACTGGCCAAATGGCGAGCAACAAAAACAACAATTTGCCTACCCCTCGCAGTAAATCCGTAAATACCAAGACCCCTTTCCCAACCATTTTATTCACGGAGTAAAAACCCCTTTTAGCCGGACTCTGGCCGGCGGTCAGAAATGGCAGGCAAACGTTATGCCAGAAACTAAATTAAGATTGAAATGTAAAACTGAAAGCGTTTTACACAATTATTGAACGCTCGACGAGGATGGATTGGAAATTTCAGAGAGGGGTTGTCGAAACAGGGAAAACCACTCTAGAAAAAAAAGGCGAGCGGGGAAATTCCGCCTGTCGCGACATTTGACAGACAATCCGCAGTGCGAGAACCATTCGAGTGCATAACTTACAATTCCGTAAATATAAATTTTCGATTCCCTGACAAAAAAAAAAAGAAAAAGAAAAAAAATAGAAGAGTGAGGCGGACAAAGTGTACGCGGTCTAATGAAGGTTGTCCGGGCCTCAAACTGCCGACTTGGAATTATCACTCCAGCATGCATTTTCTAAATGAAAATGGGCAGAGGAAAGGCGGTGGAAAAACAAAAAGAGAGAACGACGACTTCAATGTATGGAAATTTCTGTTCAATCACAAATCCAATGATGTTCGCTTCGACGCATTTTGACATTTGGTTGGAGGAGGATGTCCTTCGTCCTTCGCTTCCTGGTTTGAGTCGCTTTGATGAATTTCACTGTGGCCCCAACGATTGTTGTTTGTTCGAAAGGCTTCGTTTCGTTTCGGTCCGTTGTCCTGCCGTCTGGCACCCCTTCAAATATATAAATTCTGGACCTCCCCATTTCGAATCTATGCCTGCCGATTCCCTAGTCCTCTCTTTTAAAAAATTTTTTTTTTTTTTTTGAGGCCGATCCTTTGTCCCTCGCAGTGCATTGATTAGAATGTTTGGACTTGAGTACGTAAATATTTTTGCTTGCTTGTCAATTAGTACGTTAAGCTGCTGTTGTTTTGTACTCGTAAAAAAAGGGGATTGGATTGGAATTAAAAGGAGAAATACAGAAGAGGCTTGGGCTTTTGAAGGATTGGGTTTTTTCAATGAAGAAATTGTGGGAAATGCAACTGAAACTGCCTAAAAAAAAAGACCAAAAGTAACTTGCATCAATCAGGAAGAGATTTCATGTAAGATTCTCAAACCATTTTAAAGTAATTACATAAGGTTTTTGTTATCTATAAATATATTTTGTTTATTCTTAGAAAAAGCCAAGCTTGGTAATTTAAAAATGATTTCCCGAAATCAATAACCTCTTTCTTGGAAACTTTTTAGGCCTGCCTTTTATTTACAAAATTTCCTTTTTCTCCCTTCGCACCTGAGCTCAAATTCTCCACCCCAGGGGACTACTCAAAAAGTCATTACTTTAATCGAATTCGCATTTCCCGAAATGAGCGCCTGCCGCAGGACTCGACTGCAACGCCTCCTGCGCGCGAAGGATAACAGCGGAAGAGCTCTCATAAAACTCAGAGGATAAGCGAGGGTGCGAGGGTCAATGCAAAATGTCTGACAAACATGCAATTAAGTCGTTAATACTTCATCGATTTAATACACGCGGACAGGAGCAGGACACGGGTTACGGGATACGGTAGCTGGCCGCAGCAAGGATTAAAGCATTAGCGAGCCGAGGATGAGCTGTCCTTCGAAAAATAAAAAGTGAAAAATAAAAAGGAAAGAAAAAACGGAAGCGGAAGTGGCGATAGGACGTCGGCAGACATTTGATTAGTTTGTTTGGCCACCCATCTCTCTCTCTCTCTCTTTCTCTTTTTTTCGAGATATGCAATTACGATATAAAGTTAAACAAACCCTGGGATATATACCAGCCTATTCGAGATCCGATCCGATGCGCAGCGATATGCGTTCAGCATTTGAACATTTGATTAAAAACGCAAATAGATTTTGCAGCTCACCCCGCCATAATCCCCTATGTGCATAAAAAATTAAGCAACAACGATGCTCGAAAATACAAAAAAAAATAGAAATGAGAAACTGAAAAGCGCGGAAATTTTTTAGGCAAATACGTGGCACCAACAATTCATCAGAGGAACGACGTCATTTTTTGTTTTTGTTTGTATCATCCTTGTGCTCAACTCATCTCCCACCTGTAATAAAAATCATAACCGGGAGGCGTGGCACCAGACACCGACGCACATATTGAACTAACGACCAGGGGGATATATAGGGGGATAAAGGGGGAGGAGGAGGGGTAGGGGGGAGGGTCCACCGCCCGCATGTCTGTGTAAAAAGGTAAAAACCAATCAAGAGCATCAATAAAAGGCACGTCAATCAGCGTGTGGCATGGTAGGCTCTAGCCATTTTCCTCCTCCTCCTCCTCGGGAAAACTGCTGCTCAACAAGCACGAAAAAATCATATTTCCTGGTCCTGGCCATGCGTGGGTTTTCCCTTTTCCCCCTTTTTGTTTTCCATACCCGCTTCCCATTTTTTTTTTTTTGTAGCTCCTTGTGTGTTTTGGCCTTTTGTCTAGCATTGGCAACGCGGTTTTAGTTCAGTCAAGCTGTCATATCGACGCTTTTGCATGCCAGACCAGCCTCAGACTCAAAAACTGGGAATCAAACTCAAGCTTGGGAGTTGGGAGAAATTCAGCGACCCAGGCTCACTGGAAATCCCTCCTTTTGGAAAACCCACCTCCTGCGGTTATGCGATGGTTACATATCATGATTTTTCAATAAATTCAACGTCCATGCGGCACTTTGCTCATTGAATTTTGAACAGCGATCCCGACGAGTTGGGGGCTAAATGATGGGGAAACTGGGGAGTCGGAAAGCTGGAGCCACGGACCACAAAGCTAGGCC